CACATCCGGTTACTTCCTCAATGGGACGGGATACGATGATGTTGCCGTGCTCGCTGTTTCGTCTTTCGCTCCTCCCGACTCCATTGACGCTACTGAGTACTTGACCAACTTCCAGAGCACCGTCGCCACGTTCTTAAAGAAGAGCAAGGACGCCGGGAAGAAGCGTCTCGTTATTGATGTCGCTGCCAACGGCGGTGGTTTCGTCGTTGCTGGTTACGAGCTCTTCGCTCAGGTTTGTCCCCCTGTCCCCCTGCCACTTTTCCCTCGCTAACCTTCATGATAGCTGTTCCCCGAGGTCAATCGCTTCCAGGCCAACAACTTGCGTCTGTCCGAAGGTCTCACTACTCTTGCTCGTCTTTCCGCTGCCATCCCTGCCAACTTCACGCCTTCCACGCCCGAGGAAAAGGATGCCCTTGAGGCTCTAGGTGGCAGCTCCATCGTCAGCAACCTGCTCCCTGGAGGTGTCTACACACCCGATGAAGCCGCCTTCACGACCGTTGACCAGATCTTGGCACCGGTCTCGCTCAACGGTGACACCTTCACTGCATACCAGCAGGCACCACTCAACCAGACCGACCCCACCTTCAACCTCACCGGCGTCGGCAGCAAAGCTAACCCGCCCCCTCGCGTTTTCGACCCTGAGAACGTGGTCCTCTTCACTGATGGTACCTGCGGCTCGACCTGCACGATCTTCTCCTATCTTATGATCCTCCAAATGGGCATCAAGACAACCGTCATCGGCGGCCGTCCCCAATCTGGCATCATGCAGTCCATTGCTGGTGTCGAAGGCGCCCAGGTCTTCGCCTTCAACGACATGACCACCGACGCCAAGGCCATCATCGCCCTCACCCCCAAGGACAAGAAGGAAGAAATCATGAACGGCGAGCTCGGCGAGCTGGCGAAGGGCTACGCCATCAAGCGCGCGACCACGCCCAAGAGCGCCGGTGCCATCAACGCAAAGAACGCCTACAGTATGTCCGACGCCAGGACGCCGCTGCAATTCCTCTGGGAGCCGGCCAACTGCCGCATCTTCTACAGCCGCGAGATGCTCTTCAAGCCTGATAACGCGTGGAAGCGCGTCGTCGACGCCACATGGAGCAACCCCACGCAATTCTGCGTTGCGGGCTCTCAGGTGCCTGTCACGAAGAATGCTACGATGGATCCCCTGTTCAGACAGAGCCAGAACAACACCGGCTTGCCTGGTGCTGGCAAGAGTGCCGCAGCTGAGAGTATCTCCGGTGCTGGACTCAGACTCGCGGTTCTCATCGCGACGTTCACGGTGGCGATTTTGGCCATGTAGAATTCTTGACGTTTTCTTTCATATTTCAATCATCGACTGCGATGGCACTCGGATGGCTTAGAGACCTGATAACAGGACCGTTTCAACGGCTGAACTCTCCCCCTTCGGTTCTATGACACTTCCATGACAGAGTTTGGGGGGTCATTATTTGGGACCACAGCAACGGGATTATCCGATATGATGTCGGGTAACCGCATGTTCGGCATCAGGATTCCTGAATTGTCGTAGAGTTGAGACGAGAGGGGGGAAGGTAGAACCTGCTTCAATAAGCGCTGGGCCTATCTGCTTCTGGAAATGATTCAGTAAAGTCTATTTGGAGTTTGGTTGGGCAGCGGCGCATGGATTGGCCACATAGACTCACATCTTCCGGGATTGGAGGGGGATGATGGCATCGGGGTCGTCAAACAGAAGAAAAATATTCTTTTCAGTCAACAGCTATCTCATCCCGTCTCTGTACGTGAATAACTCATGCAGTCCAACGTTGAATACTTAGTCTTAGTCTCGAATAATAGCCATCAAATGTACACACTCCCAATTGTTGCCAAAAGCCTGCTGGCCGGCGAGTCCTAAGTCCCAACAGCTACCAAGACACGAATACATGATACTAGGATAACGATGCTAATGATTGGTGCATACTTCTAATCAAGAACTTCTTCAAATCTAATTGGCAAATAGCAGATTACTGGGATATAAATCACGGCACAACATGCCGGGGAAACAATTGTCGGATCTACATGGCATCTTCGGCCAGCAGTGATCGGCTCATAAAGTGGTCATGTGCAGTTGCCGCCAAACTTTCCACGGAGTCCGGGACTCGGGTTCTCTCCAGAAGCTGGAGCAAAGTTTCTTTCCCCCAAAACTTCGTGAGAGACGAAGCACGTGTTCTAGGTCACATCGGGTCTATAATCCTTGGAAGCTTTCTTGCCATGAGACCTTGAGGTTTCATCACATGCACCTCGTACTTGATAGGCTACGGATTCTTGCTTATTATCAAGCTTAAGTAACCACGATTGGACTACGGATTTGTCATGAACTCATATATTTGACCATGTCAACAGCAGTCGTCATGGTTCCTTGTCACACTTTTCCGTCTTTGCAAGTCATAGCCGATACTTTAGCCTCATTCTGGTCTTGCGGGCGATATGGCGCGCCCTGATCAGTCTGTAATTACCAGGTTCATTGTGTTAACTCATATCCAATTTAACATTACATCTGGGACATTAGGCTGAGCCATCGCCAATTATCAACCCTATAACCCATCCGGAAACAACGAAGACAAAAGAAACGCAACGATCAACCAGGTAATTATCCTTACCATCTCGTCACTCCTCCAAAAGTCCAGCTCACAAAGAAGACGTAAACGCGGCGAGACTCAAAGCCCACGCACATCCGTACATCAAGAAGCGGATCTTGTGCAGCCGATCCCACTTCTCAATCAGCCACCCGACCTTTTTCCTGTCCAGCTCCGATAGAGCCACCTTGTCATCCAGGGCGATGAGGCTGTTGTTGGTGGGCATGATGACGACGAGCGTGTACGGCAGGATGCAGATGCTGCAGAGCGCCGACATGACGGCGAGCCTGCGGGATACGGGCGATTCGCTCAGCGCGAAGGCGGCCAGGTGAAGCGTCGCTGTCACGCCGGTGCCGCCGATGATGTATCTCTGGTGCACGGCGTCAGTACTCATCACTCCTCTTTTGACGGCGAATATTCATCTCGCCGATGATGAGGAAGGGTCTCACTCACAGAGGCTTCGTCGAAGAAGAGTCTCCATACTTTGATCTTCTGCTTTGAACTCAGAGTGCACGCGCCAAGTTGATCTCTGATGATAGGAAGAGGCCCAGTGAGAGACAGCCCGATGTTTCCGAAGAAGAGTGATGATGTGACGAGGAGTCCGCTGCCGAGGGCGTACGTCGCTGGCGATGCCTTGCCGAAGGCTGCGAGATAAGCCGATACGGACATCTTGCCTCCGTACTGGACTGTAGACTAGTATACAATAGGGTCGACTCTTCGAGTTTGATATTCCGGGGAAGCTCTGCTCGAGTCGTGTTCGCTCGCCGATGGGATGTTGTTTGTTGTTTGAGTGCACAGACTATGAGATCATTACGAGTTGAAGTGAAAGGGAGGCTCTGTGATTGTATTCATTCTTCTCCTCTCCTTCCTCGGATTCCCCCCCTTGGGAGCCGGTAGCTCAATCCCTTGGGGCGGGATTGGCGCTTATCCCGACGTGGGCTAGACGCTGACAGTGTCTTGCAGCCTCAACACAAGTTTAGGCGCACCGCCTAGACGGGCTGGACCTTCTCACTAACTGCGTACGGTCTTAGTCAAGCGCCACAGTGCCTTAGTATGCCAGCTTGGACCATGAGCGTTGGGGGGAAGATTGTCCAAGATGTCCGGAGTGAACGTTTCAGATCAAATGAAATGGTCTTCAAAGACGTGAGCCTTGACTGTGGTGATGAGTCCCGGGCTGTTAAGCTTCAACACCGCATGCTTGGCATCGTGGCTCGTCGACGAGGCGATGCTGCCTACAGGCTCATGAACTTCTGCGCGAAAATCAATGGATGCTTGAAGTATGTGTCTACTTTACTCACCTACGGACCCGCCCCGTATGCTTAGGCGGCTGTGGACAATCTTGCACGTTTCCAAGGCCCAAAAGACCGAACAGAGTCTTGATCCTCAAACCGAGACCCGATATCGAAGATATAGGCTTCCCAAACTTCATGTTGCAAGACTTCCCACCTTCAAATCCAGGATTTCTCTCTCAGCATTTTCCGATGTACATCAGCAGGCGACATCAGCATAATTCGCTGGGTCGCAAGAGAATGCCGAAGCTAGCATGAAAAAGCCTAGGGGCGCAAGAGGGTATCAGAACTCGAGGAACCCAAGATCTAATGATAGAGACCAAAAGGCGCAGCTCTATTTTATGCCCACATGTACTACAGACTCGATCTAATTACCTTATGTTACAAAATACCAAGGCTATACAACCTCGGAGCTGAGTACTACTTTCGCCTGATTTCGTCAGCATGTCCTCAGAGATTTGTTTTATATCGAAGACGCTCTAAACCCTTTCCCTCAATCCCGGTGATTCGAAGCTCTGTCATCTAAATAGTCCAGTTCCCGCAACGGAATGCTTTCCTCGTTGCCGATCTTCTTATATCCCTCTTTCCGCGCCCTAGCCCACTTCAAAGAGCGTTTGATCCCAAGAACAATGCACACCAACAACCCAATGAAGGCGATGCCAGAAACCCAGGCTCTCCATCCCCTAAAACAGCATGGATACAGCGACATGTATATGCCAACTCCCCACTGCAAAAGATTCTTTCTTTCAGGATGGTCTGGAAAGAGTCCTTTCCTTACAAGCTGCTTCGTAGTCGGACCCGTCGGGCCGGAGACGTAACGCTTCAGACCAAAGTAGGGTACGATCTTCTGACGTGGATGGTCGTCGGGGTATTGGAAGTCTCCCCATATGCCGGAATAGTACAAGAAGGATGTAAGATTGATAGAGGCTTCCGCCCCGGGTGGAAATATGCTCGTTAAGAGTGACGTTTCAGGATCGAATTTATAGTAATATGCCGAAGATACAGGATCCCAGATTTTACCTGCGTCACAGTAGTCTAGTAAGACCGAGTCGTGAACGTGATCGCTGATCGAATGCTGTCATTACACAATATCCATAGATGGGACAGTATGGCGTATTACTCACCCAGGAGATGCCCAGTTCGCGTGAGAACCCCATGCGCTGTAAACTATAGGCTAAGACAACATTAGCTGCGTGGTTAAGTTTGACCAAAAGATCGGAGGAAGTTCGTACCCGACCATCTTCCACTGATAGGTCCTTATCATCCCACTTGTAGGCAGAGCCCGAAGAGTGTTGACTGTAATAGATACCGGTAGGTTTCCCGTCGTGGAACCGAATCATATTGTGCTCCCTGTCCAAACAAAGGTCAGTGAATACGATCTCGTGGGTACGGATCTGAACATGGAGCTGACCAATCACCAATATGATCGCCAAAGTGCATGCCATGCTCAGTGTCTTCTATCAACCCATTCATAGGTGGTAGAACCTGAGTGATGTTTGCCCCTTGATCGTACGAGTAGAAGTAGAAGTAAAAGGCATCTAGATCTCCTGAGCCCTTATCGACGGTGATCACAACGCAAGAGGTGGCATTGTGGAGTTTGCCCGTCTCATCTGGCATCTCTCCAAAGAGCCAGGTAGGAAGACTGGTGATGTCGCCGTTGGCAGTTAGCGAAACTGGGCCGTTGTTCCAGTAGTCGTTTAGCATAGCCAAATTATCGAGATCGAGTTGTGGCAGTCCTCTGATGGGCTCCATGTGCACCATCGGCGTGGTATGGCGGACATGTTCGAGTATATCTGCCGGGCGGAATGGGTCGTCTGAGTGTAGCCATATCAGTGGCGCTAGTATGATAGTAGGTCAGTATCGGCATGATACCTGATTTTGCCAGGTGCAATCTCTAGGAATCTTTCGAGACAAGTGAGGGTAGTGGAGATGTTCTCTTACCGTGATTAATCACGAAGTCTGGTACTACTCTTCCGACATCGCGATATGTGAATGAGGAGCCGTACTCATTGGCATCTTCTGGGATGGATAATGCAATGGAAAGAGAAACGTTTGATAGTAAAGCCAAGATACTTCGCCAGGGACATGTAAAAGGCCATGGGCGTGCCATGCCTACGGCAGACCTTATGCGCCTTGGAGCGCTGGCCGCACAGAACTTCCAAGTCGACCTTGGATGTGGAAAGAATTTTCGGGTGTGTACTGACGGCGTGAAACACTCGGTCGTCGCTCAACAGTTACCGTTGCAGAGAAAGAGAGACTGTAGAGGAAACTTTTCAAATCCAGGAACGAGGCACTCCTTTCCGTCTGAGAGAAAACAAAGACCAGATGGTCGAGTTTTCCTAAGATTCTTCGGCCCGTAGAGGCAGCTCACTGATTTGACAGCCTGATGCTGTGTAACCGCACGCGTAAAGATATTGATTAGGAATCCCTGAAAAGCGAAAGGGTCAATACCGCCCTCCCTCCGTCTTTAGAAGCGCATATTGAAGCATTGTGAACAATGCTCAGCTGCATTCTACCGGACGGTAACTGATTGGTTCAGGGAGTCAAGCGCAGGGGTGTTGGACAGTTGGTTCGAGTCTGTACAACACTTGGCAGAGCTGATGCGCGGGTCGGCGCCGCAGCTTATTGGTAAGGATTGCTCATCTCAGTGACAGACATGTGTTCAAGCTCTGTTCATTTCTGGCCTTTGTTGAAGTAAAGCGCGGATATCTGTTAGGGTAAATACGTACTTTTGAAAGAAAAGAAGAGAAGGGGGGTCAAGTCAATGGTCAAATGTGTAGTTGCGTGAAACGAGACCAATGCGTCGCGACGAGAAACGAAGTGTATTCCTTTGTTGGAATTGTCTACTAGATGCAGTCGCATCCACCTCACACCGGTTTCCCAGTACAGAACATGATTGGTAGCCTGCTTCTCACACCCACCTAAACACTCATGTAGCGACCAAGCCTTGGTGTGTTTTGAGTGGCTTCCTCTCCTCGTCCTTCGCCCCCTATTGACTTGGCGGGAAAGTGTCATCGCACAGTCCTATCTTACATGTCTGCTATTTGACAGCCAAGCGGTGTCACAGCAGACAATATTCCTCAGCCGCTTCGCTGTCCTACACATCCTCACTGGCACTTATCGGCCCCCTTTTCTCTAGAGCCAGCCCGTGGGCAGAATTCACACTGTGACACACATTCAAAGCCATCGCCGCCATCTCGGTTCCGCTTATCCGGCACAGTTCTTGGTATTGGGTAGCCTCGTCCCAACGGTTGTTGCACTGAAGGTCACTCCGTTTTAGATCCGGGCTTCGACGGATGTCCTCCATGTTGCGCTCGCTCAACAGTGGGAATGGAACCGAACATCGAAGGCCACGCCAAGACGACTTCTTCCTTCTTGCCGTCTCTGCAATAGCGTAGCCAGACGCCGTAAGTCACGTTTATATAGCATGCAATACCGGTGAATAGGTGCCTAAGCCGGCTGTTAGCTTCTTCCTGGCACCGATGTTAGTTAACACTCACCACCATCCGTGGCCCTCGAGGAGAACGCCCCAGGGGAGTCCGAGTTCTCGTCTCCAATGTCGAAGATGCGAACAGAAAATGTTGTCAAGGTTCCAAGCCAGAAATCCAATGGCTATGGAAACAAGACCGCAAGTGATCAATGTCCACATTTTCTTGAGGAGTTGCGTGTCGAGAAGCGCAGCCTTGCTCTGAGGTGTAGACTTGGGCCGGAGTATCTTCTCCATGATGTACATGCTTCGAAACACAACAGTGGCTGTGAGTATTCCGAACATGACTTGGTGGAAGACGGGATCTCCGAGGTAGTGGTAGTACACTGTGATGAAAATGGCCAAGCCAGTGATGAAGGTGCCCAGAAGAGCCTGGCCAAACAAGGATTTTCCGTGAGAAAATACCGCATAGAAGAGGATGCATGTGGTGTATATCATTGACAGCTCATCAAACAGCTGCATCCAGTCTTGCTCGAGGGTCAGTACTGTAGCACAGCATGGTCAAGGATTTCAGAGGCAACGAACACTTCAATGAGGTATGGTAGACCACGCTTGCGATACCGATGGTCATGTACCCGACGTATGCCACCAGAAATACTCGAGGATGGTTATTTCTAATGCAGCTGGAAATTCCAACTAACGCCAGATAGACGAATATCGCATTTGTGAAAGTGTTGACAAACTCGGCCACGTACGGTGTGACATAGTAGTCCTATAAACAAAGGTCAGAATCAGTGAAGTTCGAGCAGATGGTAGAAGTTTGATAGATCTTGTTGGTATATTGCGCAATAAGCCTACCTCCTCGCACCAGTTGATGGTTGCTGTGACAGGATTCCAAAACCCGTCCCTAGAGGGTGGGTAGGATATGGATGGCAACGGAAAAGGCATTCCGGCTTGGTATGATCTTGTAGGAACGAAGAGAAGACGGTGAGAAAAGTAAGCTGGACACCGTAGATGTTGGCGTGAGACTTAGATCGTCTTCTCCGAGGCCTACGTGTGAGCACGGCTGTGGCTCAAAGCTGCCCTTTAACCACGCTGTTTCTCACAAGTTGTCGGTGTCAAATCGTCTCTGTTGAAAGATTGCACGCCTTGAATATGGAAATTTCATGAACATTCCGGTGGCTTGTATCGAATTGTGCGAAAGGCGAAGTGAAGGTTGCGGAGGGATTATTGGAAAGTCGCGAATGTGTGAAAAGTCTAAGTGTGTCTGGCTGGTTCCTTAAAAAGCGCGAGCCTGAAGCCACAGTATGGATATCCGGCAAGTTGCAGGGTAGCCGTTCGTACCGAGACCGAGCTGAGTAATCCGTTGGATGTTAATCCGTAAAGGTCTCTCGGCAAGTGGAGTGGATGCTTGCCCCAGCTGGATTAAGACAGATTTATCTGCCCAAATGGTCCCGAAAACCCTCCCTTCGGAATGCACAACTTAATCTCAACGGAAGCTAGGCAACAGGGCCTCCGTCATAATTCTATGCAGAAATGCACTTGCGATACCAATTGACATGCATATGTTTAATCAAGATGAGCTCTTACGTTTTTACTCCACCGAATACAGGACGAGTCAGTTTCGACTCTGCGTTTACATAATTACTTGGTCAACATATCTAACGACCCAGCCTTTGAGCTTGGGACTTTTTGCTATAAATACCTGCAGAGTCCTGATCCCAGTCTCGCTCTCTCGCACACCCTTCCAGAGGCTTACTACCGCCCTCGATGAGTTCTATCGGTTCTAATCACTCCAGTAATTAGTCGGGCTGAATGAGGCTTCAGTTGTGTAGCCTTCGCAACTCAGAGTACATGTCTTGGTACCACTGGATGATGGTAAAATGAGCGTGCCCACTGGGAGGAATAGCTACGAGAACACCACTTGACTCTCGAGTGTGAGGGTTCTTGCCTCCCGTGGCTGCTTACTTGTCGGAATAATACCGCTTTCTAACCCGCCTCCTGGGTGCTTCCTAGAAAAGAAGGTGGCTCGAAGGGGGTCATTCTCGTTCAGCTCTGTGGCCTCCGTTCTTTGCATGATCCATCCAGAGGCTATTGCAAACAGAATTTTTCCGCCTGTCCAACATTGGTATTGTTAGGTTTCTCTTCGGAAGCCCAAGGCTGCAATATCTTATGTGATAAGTAAAAGTCCCGGTATGTCCTAGCTTTCACCAGTTTCGAAGCATTTTTTCTGTTGCTATCAGCTTCATGCCATATTTGTACAAGTTCTAGTCAGAAATTCCACAATTCCTAATACCTGGCTTCATCATAATTGCTGTATAACTTCTCTCAATTTTGAAGATGCCTCGATTCTTTCGTTCCTTCATTTTTGTTACCCTTCTCAACTGGTCATGCCTCGCAGTGTATGTTGCCAAAGACCAATTCAAAAGCTGGTACCCTGAGTTCGGGCCTACCTTCGAAGCTATCATGGAGGGCAACTGCTCCGCCGAGTATGAGAGATACCTGACAATTCCGAGAGAAAATGCCACCATCGATTGGTTTACGGGAGGCGGCAACACGAACAGGCTTGCTCAGCCCGTAGCAAACTGCATTCTGGGCAACACATCTGAGTACATCATGAGCAATATGGCAGCTGCCGCAGTCGTCCTCGGCCTCATGCCAACGATACTCGCCACAGTCGGTAACAGCGTGGAAGAGACCTCGACGCTCTGCGTTATTGGCCAAAGACCACTCATCGCCTTGCTCGTGGCTGCTGGATCGCCTGCCATCCATCCCGTTCGATCGTTCAAGTACATGGATCCGATGAAGCTGGTCAAGTCCCGGCGATACCGTTTACGCACCGAACGATCGTCCGCACCGCTCAGGAGGGTTGCGCTTGCGATCGAACTCCTCGCTGCAGTTGTAGCCATTATCAATACATACACGCTTTGCAATCAGCTAGGGGTCATGGTTGTCAGTATGCTCGCTCCTCAGCTGACTTACTTGGAGTTTCTCTGGAGCATCATCGGCATCAGCTCCCACGTCTCCGCGGCCGCTAGCTTGTGGGCTCGAACTAATATCAAGTCTGGTATTTCACGACGTGAATATATCATGGAAGTCCTTTCTCGACAGTTCAAGCCCCTTGATGAGCAAGATTGGACTAATGCTATGATCGGCGAAGATGAAACCTACCTGTCAATGGTGTTGTCGTACTTCACATCTCTTTTAGGTACATGTCATCTCATTTACGGGAGCATGTTATTCTCCAGTCTTGTTTTCATCTCTGCAACAGATAGTCTGAAGATCATGGCTCGCTACATGGCATCGGCGATGGTTAGCAGGTTTATCCTCATGTATGAGCTCTTCTGGCTACGAGATATCCTCGGGGAAAAGAAAGAGCCGTTTTCAACAAATGAATCCATTGAGTTGACCCAAGCAGCTGAGATTCCGGAACAAGGCGTAAAGAGGTATCAGATAAGCACGGCTGATTTGGTGACTTATAGAAGTATAGAGTAGCCACCGCCTTACAATAGCTTCTTGCACGGTATTAGCGCACACAAAATCGATTTTTTCGGATCGCACGCGCTATCCATGAACGGCAAATCCCTAAGAGATGAGAACTTGTCTATGCTCTTTGGGCGATTTGATCATCTACATGTACTTACACCGTCCAGTGAAATGATCTGAGCATATTCAGCACGTAGGACGTGCAAGATTTACGTATTGTCTCATTTTGTTCCTATTGCTACCACTCGAATCTTCTGTATTTGTTTCCCACTCGTCTTCTTTCTACCTTTGTCGCTCTGTCTTCGAGAACCAAAGAGCTAGAATGCTTATTTGATCTCTGCGGCTACTCACAAACTAGCAGGTCAAGCCGCTGTCAGCCTGTGATAACTCAATTGTAAGGGCTCTAGGTACTTGATTCGACTGAGTACATATTCCAAGTGTTCAGCGACCAGCTAGGTTGATTCCTAACCAGTGAGATATGTCATCTGCATACTGCGCATTTTGAGGGGGTTTGGGTACAGGCTGAACACCAGGCGTGGGTTGAGGATCAGATGCTGGTTGAGCACCAGCTGCAAGTTGTGGCTGTATGTTAGCTCGACTGTCAAATGTTGATTGCTGTGTTGATTTGATATTTGGCGGCAGATGTGAGGTCTCTTTGGGAGAGGTTTCGCAACCTCGAGTCGGATTTGCCCTCAATTGGTTCGGACCACACCAGTTTAACTCAGCTTCGGCATGATTCCGAAACTGTTTCGCTGCATTCGAAGGACCGGCTGTGGCATCTCGAGGTGGAACGATTAAGCTTGGTCGATGATGTGTCTTACTCGGTCCCCCGTCGTCTTTCTTCATATGTAAGGAACGCGGGTGGTTGTTATATGGGAAGGCTCGCAGAGCTCTACTTAGGTATACGTCTTTCTCTTCTTTATTCGATGAAAGCGCCCTCAAAATCATGTTTTTGGCACGCGAAGCTGATCCCCTAGATGGGATTTCACCAGCGAGAAGAATTTCCCTACGGATGCTTTCGCGGGATTCAGGTGTCGTGAGAGAGGCTGGTATGTAGCAGTATAGGCGCGTGTTGAGATAGCCCAGGGGCGATCCCGTTGAGCGCCATAAGTCGCCCAGCTTATCTAGGAGGAGCTTTGGCTGAGAACATTGATAAATGAGAAGTTGAAGGCAAGTCGCTTGCATTGGAGTATCTCCTAGCTCTTCCGCGACCCGGAGAACAGTTCGAAGAGCTCCGTCATGCCCTGAAGTCGTAGATGGGTCTGGTTGCCACTTGGGCGTCTCGTCGTCGACCGGTGCGTATATGATCGCATAGTTCATGGGAACCTGAATCTCTAAAGGAAGACACAGCCCCGGTAGGCTGTTTAAGTGAGACGCAAGGGCAAAGACTCCGGTGATCTTGTGGTCAACATATTGCTCCAGCAAGACTTTTGTGATGATCCACCGAAGATATGGCCGAGACTTCGTATTAGTTGATTGTATCCCAACAACCTCAAGAGCATGCTTTGTGGCAAGCTCAAATATTGTCTTCACCATAGCGTTCGTGCGGGCGCCCATGGAAGTCAGAGTCAGAGTCGTGAAAATATCCAGTAGAGCAAATGACGATTCTTCGTCCGGCGCGATTGTTTCCCAATCTTCTCTAATTCTTTCAACCAACTGAGCAAGATTTTCATCGGTATCTTCACCTTTCTTATCTTCGTTTGCGAGTAAAGTTTCGAGGGCCCGGTAAGTAGAATTTCGGCAGATAGGTAGGAGATTTTCCAACAAGTCTCTGAAGTCCCAAATCCTACCTTCGTCTCTTAGATTCGAGTAGACTTGAGCGAGTTCGCCGGGTCCGAGAAGGTTAGTGTTACTCAAGGACAACAATGAGCTCAGAGTTCTGATCTTGAAGAAGTTAGCGTTTCACTAATTTCAATGTCCATCTATCCTCACATGCACTTACCTCCGTGGAGTCCAACTTAGGCCAGTGTTCCTCTATGAAATCCGCATCATCTAACCATTTCTGTATTTTCGGGGATACTCTTTCGTCCTCCAGCACATTTCCACACTGCCTTCTAGCCAATTCCAAGCGCGTGTGAAAACTTGCTTTGAGGATTCCAGGGCGCAGTCTCGAAGCATATTTTTCCTCGACTTGAGAAAGTGCGTGGAAATCCCACCTTGCGAAAAGACTTCTACAGTACAAATCAATGATGTACGGATTGTCAATGAAATGCAACAGACAATAGTCAAAATATCTCTGAGCATCTTCAAATCGTCCCAATCTCACAAGTCTTGAATATTGCTCCAATTCTTCGTCCAGATCATCGGTAGCGCTGAGCTCTGAATGAATTGTGACGTCATGAGGACATTGGGGATCGATCTGAATATGGATGCTGTTGCTAGGCTTGGTACGGGTGGGGATTTGGCTGGAGGCGTTGCTTCGCGGGCGCAGTCGCGCGGAAGCCGCATCGCTCGAAAAACTGATATCTTCTTCTTCGTCTCCTTCTTCTGATGAACGTGTAAACGAAACTTGTGGAGACTTGTCATATGACCCTGAAGTCACACTAGACTCGTCATATTCTTCGACGCAAGCGGCATACTTTGAAGTCTTTGGTTCTTGTCGTGTGTTGCCTTCAACGCTCGGCAGCAAGTGACTGCGGGTTTGGTCATCGGCGGTGTGAGCTGACGGATCCTCGTGAGGTAGAGGTATCCTATGCATTGCTCTTTGCTGCGTCCAGGGTAATCTGTTTCTGGGTGCGACTTGGCCCCGAACTACATTGCTTTCTTTTCGAAGCGAGGACTTTTCTCCTGGAGGCGGTCTAGATTTCTCTCGGTCGTGTGCTCCAACAAGGTAATCAAGCGTGGTTCCACCCAGAACAGGCTGGCGGGCGACTCGGCTACCTTGCGACTTGGTTGAATGCATAATGCCGGAAAGCGAAGCCTATGAGCGTTCTGGATGCTGTTAGGTTTGATACTGAACGTAGCGGAAGCAGATGTCTTTGAATTCCTTACTAAGTACCTTGATCATAGGAACATGACCATGGTCGCCAAGATTCATTCAGCGCAACGAATAAGTAGTGTTTCAAGAGATGAGCCCTCGCAATGAAGGAGAAAAGAAGGTCGAAGGTTGCGGTAACCTGCGCCGCATGCGTACATGGCCAGCGCTGTAGCCAACCGCACAGCCACCTCGGGAGACCGAGGAAGTCAATGATGACTGGTACTACCCCTCAGATGCTGTGGAATGACTGAGCGAGAGAGAAACCCACATGTTATTTCTGTTTCATGATAGGTGCAGCTGGTATGCATGTCAGTTGCAGGTGCAGATTTACGCCCGCGTCATACTCTTGAGAGACCCCTCAATCGGGAGGCCTTCGTTTCCCAGCCTGATCCTCTCACGTCGTCAGAGCCTTGCCTGACTGACCAAAAGAAAGCAAATGACTTCGCCCTCTGAATAGCTTTTTCTTGAGGCAAAGAGACGCTCCCAAAATGGTCGACAAAGCGATTGAGCGACAAACAGACAAGAGACCTCAGGCTGTTCGTCCTGGGCTCCGAATTCGTCGATTCGGCCAGCAGAACTTCGAACGCTTCAATCAAGAGGCAGCTCGTGGGTCACATCTATGCGTGGGATGTGGTACTATCGGAAAAGTTCAAGTTGAATGCAAATACAAGTGGAAGAAGGCACAATGGGGCACTCTTGGCCCTACTAGACACCCTGCCGGTGTAGTCTACATCGATATAACAATCAAGCAGCCACCGGGACACATACTCAACAACGCCACTGTGCTCATTACTTTGACCGAGCAAAACACAGTTGAACTCGAAGCTGGAGGTGGCAGACGGAAACCAAAACAGGTTCGAACGTCGCTAGAATCAGACTATGCAGTTCAAGTGACAGAATTCTTCGGACCTCAGTTTCTGATAGGTCCGAGGATTGTCACTTCCGAGATAAAGGAGAAGGCTCTTGAACCCACGCTTGGAGCTGGGGGCTTCTTTGAACTGGGAGGGATGGGAATTCGTCAGAGTAAGATGAGAGAGCTTGTCGACAGCTGGACCTTCAAGGGAACGGTAAAGCGGGCAAAGGGCGGGGAAGGATTCCGGTCCCTCGAATGGGAGCTCAACGGAAGCGAAATCGATAGCATTCCATTTCGAAAACACAACTTCCACACCGCCTTTGCGTTCGAACACAGCGGTAGACCAATCATCATGTGCGTCGAGGTGGAGGGTCGTCTCAAAAGCATGATGCGGCAAACCAAACACAGGTTTCTGCGCTTCTGCTCGAAGTCGGGCGATACCGATAACTCAATGACAACCGAAATCGATCTATCATCGGCAACATCGACCTTCAAGAAACGGCTCGACGGCATCGCACACGGTCTGAATATGGCAATGCAGAAGGAGAATCATGATGATACCCCGGTAGAGATGCCACGGCCTATGCCGGCCACCTTTGAAGAGGAATCTCCTCCGAAGGAAGTCTCTTTCGACGAGATCGAGGAGGTGGCAGACTCCGGGGTGGATGTCTTGTTGCAATATCTCCACCAGCCTGCTACGGTAGCGATCGAGCGTCAATCATCGCCGGTAGAGAATGAAAGCGAGTTTTCCACGGGCGACGAGACGCTCGTCAATGACAACAGCGACCACAGCATCTCGGGCAAGTCTGTCCAATCTGTGGGCCGAGTAACTGCTCAGCACATGTTAAAGGTGTCTGAAGCCGTGGCACTGGCCCTCTTCAATTGGGTCTTGATGATGGTGAAGCTCGTGGGTTCGGGTCAGCAATCATGGACGACCACAAACCCGATTTTCATTCAGAAAGTAGTGACATCATCGGAATATCACCACAAAGCGCCGATTCAGGAAAATTGGGACGACGAGGTTGATGCGCAGTACACAAAGCCCTCTCAGCATCTCTTGAGTGCAAAACCCGCGGCGTCTATCAGCGATGGGCTCTCGCAGATGATGACCCCTCTTCTGAATGAAAAGAAGACACCAGAACGTATCCAAGTGCAGCGCAGGGGGAGTGTTCGAAGTTCAGAATAGCTGTCAGCCGTAAGTAACAAATACATAACGTATGCCATTAGGACCGACTGGAGGTGATATCCAGACCGTGACGAGTTGGTCTTTCGGAGGATGTGGGGTAGAGGACGGGCCGGCCCCGGGACACTGCCGCTAGGACATCCGGGAGGCCAATGCTGTACTGAAGATAATTTGCCTGGTGTACACTATTTCCCCGAATATCCACGAAAGCGGTCAAAACATGTTACGTGAGCTCAAGCGCCGCAAGAAGAAGTCTAATTGACAAAAGATTTGGTGCGTCAAGGACAGGATTCGAACCTGCGCGACCGAAGCCACTGCCTAATCTGGAATCAAGGTATGATAGCAGGGCAGCCCATTAACCACTCTGGCACCTTGACTAGTGACTGATTGTTGATATCCACGAACGGTCAGCCGCTCATAACGCGCGCAACGACCCCGCTTCACCCCGCTGCACACATCCACAGCTGCGGAGCCGTGGACACCACCTAATCAACGGCTCGTGAGGGCTGGTGGAGTTGTGACTGACGGTGGAATTGGCGAGATGCTGGTCAGTAATGGCCAAGGTGTGTGCATTGAGGCAGTGTCCCTCCGATCGTGGATCATGTTGATTCAAATGGAGGAAAGGTTCGTCGAGCTATGATATACAAACGCGTCACACTTATAACGACAGGCAACACTTTTGAAGGGATAAAAGCTATCTAGTGTATTGATGCCAAAGTGCCAAGTTGGCTTGGTGAAGCTACCTATTCATACCGATCTTGACCGAACCCAAAACTCCGAGCTGCCCATGTGATATCATCCTGAACCTATCTGAAATCCCAAAATCCCCTAAGCTCCTACAGTATGGCTGAACACCTTGGCAGCCAACTGGGTAAGCAGCCTCGCGCGATCTGCCTGGGGGAGGTCCTGCATCATGTTAGTACAAATCCCCCTTGCAAGACAATTTGGATAGAGAGGCTGACGGGATCTACCCGGTAGATATCTCCAAATTCGCACTGACCTGGAAAACGGCATAGACACTCTTGCCCTTCGCATCTCGAACAGAGCCAAGCCTGTTTCCAGCCACAGCACCCGCCAGCGCGCCAGGCATGTTTCCGACGATGAAGCCCAGCGCGCCACCACTAAGACCGCCTACCATGCTCCAGAACGAGCTCGTCGGGCGGTTGGTACCCTCCTCGGCCATGCCCTCCTCGCGCAACATCTCCTCGAATACATCGCCGAACTGTGCGTTGTCGGCCTGCGCGCGCTGGCCCTCGTTCTGTTGACCCTGCTTCCCGCCTGTGAAGAAGTTCCATGCCCACGAGTAGGCATTTTGCGGGTTGGGGCCGGCCTGCGGGGGTACTTCCTCTGGGTCGGAGTCGTCGTCGTCGGAAAAGTCGCCGTATGTTGTACCGGCGGATGCGCCAAAGATCTTTCGCTGGGCGTCGTATTCTCGGCGTCTTTGCGTGTCGGACAAGGTGTAATATGCGTCGTTGACGAGCTGGAACTTGCGGGTGCGCGTTGCTCGCTCGGGTGAGTCGGCGGGGACCCTGTCTGGGTGTGTCTTCAAGGCGGCTCTGGAAAGTAAAGATCAGTTTGAGGGAACTTGGACTCAGTTTCTTGATCACTAACTTCTTGTATGCATCGCGAACTTGCTGGGTCGTAGCCGCCTCCGAGATCTCAAGGATCTTGTCTTTAGGCGCAATGTTAGTCGCAGCTCGGTAGCTATAGTGGGGTATTGGAGGGAAGCTTACAGTAGTTTGGAGGGGCGCCAGTGTTCGCCATCTTGATGATCGGTAGGACTAGAGGTACAAGAGGCTGGTTCTAGATGGTATAATAGCGATAAAAAGACCTCACAGTGAGGGAGTAGGAGAGGGCTGCAGGCTTGAGGTGATTGAGTGAAAGATTGCGCTTGAGGTATCGCCTCCCCGAGGAACCAGGCCTGACTGACATCAACGTCATTGTGGCGCATGAAACCAAAGGGTGAACGTGGCTTGATCAGCTTGCGGGGCATTGCCTCCGGGGGTCTCCCCACTTGTCTTTTTTGGATGTGGTCTGTGCTGTTTTGCTGAGGTAAGGTGCGCATAGGCCACCCTAAGGTAGCAAGCACGTGCCCAGCTGTCCCTCCTTCGACATCTTCCACTGCGTCTTCTCAGATTTCACCTACTTTGCCTTACCTCCAAGAGTTTTGTGATACATATGGCTTGTCAGATTCCATCCAACCGCGTCTGTCCCACGATCTACAGAATTATAGATCGTGGGATATGACAAGTGCCAATATCGTATGAGCAGCAGCGCCAAAATCTTGGACTGGCAGCAGTGGCTGAATGCCTCCAGCCGCTTTTAGTGCAGAGCTTCTCATACCAAGTATCGACCCATCTGCCCGGATGAAGGATCTAGGTATCATTGTGCTTCCGCGCCAGGAACGGTAATACTAGGTTACTTTGAGGCTCTGCCACCAAGGAACGCCATCGTCTGGCCTTGTGTGCTCTTGACGGCGTGGCAAGCTGCAAATATTCATGCCGCATTCGTTTTCGAAAACGGTCTTCGTCGAAGGTTTTCGTTCGTCCCACTGGATCCTGGAAGAGAATACCTAGCGACCCAACGAATCGCTGCACATTCCAGAGCCCCTGTGAAGCACCCTTCGCGCAAGTTCTAGCCTTCGACGCTAGGTTCATGCTAAAAGGCTATTCTGAGGAAGTGAAAATGCAGGCCTGCCGAGAGTTGGCCGTTGCTTAACAGTCATGCGAAGGCTCTTGGCGCTGCCAACATGATTGCCAAGTGGTATTCTTCCTGCGATTCGCGGTATGAGATCCTGGCGTGGCCTGCTCGCCGACTTTCATCTTTTGAACTCCGCGATTGGGGTTGAACAGCGGTTATGCTAGCCTTCACTGCAGTTGATAGAGTACCAGCTGGCTTCAGAAATAGATCGCGTCGTTCTTTTGACCACCGCGCTAACCAACTTGTCGGCTTTTGGGACACACGTGCGTTCGCATGGCATTACGAAAACAGCTTGGGGTAGTCAGGACGGAAGCTCACTCGCAGCCACATATCAGCCCAATATTCCAGCTGTCCGTTCTAGGCAGGCCAAGCTACCAGTCGAGCCAGTCCATTTGGCAGCCTCAAACCGCGAGCGATACTTGTGCAAAAACGCTCATAGATGATCGACGTCGTGCCACTCAACTCGAGAGAGCAAGCTAAGCTAAGATACGCGGGGGATACGGGACAGGGAGTCAGGATCGGCATCCCGCGGCTGAAATGTCACTTCGGAGGTTACTCTGCGAAAGTCCCCGATCCTTGGCGAGCGGCACTTTTGTGCTGCCTTTCTCCGCAATGCTTGCCTTCGCCGCATGCACATCTGGATATCCGCCGAGTCGACTTCGTCACCACATAGAGTTCCGATGTGTCAACGAACTGGGGTTGGCTTGACTTTGGCAAATGGCAGTCTTGGCAGGAAACAAGGCAGCCTCGCCTGCAGGCTGCGATGTTCCGGCACGTCTAAGGATGGGTTAGGAAGGTCCAAGTAGCTGGACTCTGCCTTGGCCAGAGGCAGTGAAGATCGTGAGACAGGTGAAAAGGGCAGGTACTTGGTCTATTGGGGTTACCCTCGGGCTGCGTGAAGAAAACTGGATCAACGCCTCGCTGCCTTTCTTCTTCTGCGACATCGACGACACCACACCACCGCCGCCCTCTAGTCACCGCTTTTGGCATCTTTATACTGTATTCTACGGTTCTCGATGCCCGACATCGTCTAGACCAAAAAGGGTTTGCAGGAAAAGTATATTCTTCTCTCCTTGCAAGCCATTATATATAGGGATCAGTCCATCCCCAAACCCACACTGGATGAACCGGCTCCAACCGATCCTCGCTAGCTTTCTCCTCTCTCTTTAATTCGGGTGTCAGCTTGTCGGTGAAAGGCGCTTCTGGTTCCAGTATCGAGCGTCTCAGCTTCCCTGTCCGGCTAGTCAGGTCGCTTCTTCATCCCAAGGTCTGTCTATCAAGTACTTCAACTGCCCAAGAGTCTTGTCGCTGACTTGTGATGCTAGCTCTGTGAGGACGTTCGAAATACTGCTCGACAGTCGATAGAATGGCCCCCTTCACTGCGGCCGCGGATGGCAGCAGCCTTTGCACCACACCGATCTGTCTCGAGATCGCCTCAAACATTCTCATGAGTCTCGCGCCGAACCATACCGACATCGATCCGTGCACAGACTTTGACAAATGTGCGTCGCAGGACTCCAATTGCCTTTTGTTTCCCCCACTCGCATTGCCTCCAGCTCTAGTTTCCCCGCGCCCAAGCTTCGGATCCTTGTCTCACATCTTTTTCCGTTGTTTTCCTACTCGACACTGCTGAGGATTCTGCACGTTGCATGACTCTGGTTGGCTAATACACTTTCTTGGCAGATGCGTGCTCTGGATGGAAAGCAACCCATGCGCCTGGGGCTGGCCAAGGAAAGGCCTCATCGCTGGGTATTGTCGGGAGTGATGTCTCGATAGTGCTGAAGAACATCGTGGAAGGCACCTACCCCAGTGGACCAGACGCTGGATTTATCACGGCATCACTGTCTCAAGAGCAAATAGGCGTGGATCGGGACAACTTTCAGCTGATCGTGGAGACATACAATGCTTGCCTCAATGACACCGCCGTCAAGGCTGCAGGCTTGGGTCCTCTCATCAATCTCGTCAACCGTGTCGCGGAGGCTTTTCCTGTGGCCAATACTACAGAGGACAAAGAACGCAAGATCTCGAAGAATGATGCCAAAAACATGGGCAAGACACTACTGTTCTTTGGTCAACTCGGCATCTCTACTTTCGAGTCCGTCACTGTTGACTTTGATGACCAGAATACGGTATGTTGATCTGGGACCTGGGAGCCCGCCACTATGGATGCATACTGATTTTTAAGCAGAACAAGACACTCATATCCGTCATCCCCGGAGGCACGCCGTTGCTCACAGGTTCTGTAGCCAGAAATAATGATACCGTTGCGGAGTATGAGCGCATTATGGCAGCACTTCTTCAGGCAGTACACCCGGCGAAACTCGATGTTATGAATGCCCAGAGACTCGCTCTAGCCGTCACTAAGTTTGAGAAGGACGCGGTCGCTTTGCAGGCCACTGATGACAGCAAAGCAAGCCCAACTGTGAGTGATACCCTGACCTTTAAGTCTGACCGAGGAACTGATAGCCACCAAAGTCACCAGCAAGGAAGTTCAAGTTGGAAGAGGTCACAAGCGTGGCCCCAGAACTTGGTCATGATTTTGTCATCAACAACTTGATTCCCGCGGACTATACGCCGGATCAACTTGTGTTTTCCCCAGCCTACTTTGGCAACCTATCTCAGCTTCTCGCCAACACCTCTGTCGAAACGGTCCAAGGATTTTTTATCTGGAAAACAGTATCCACCTTCTCCAACTTCGTCGAGACAGATGTCACGGAAAGGTTGAACGACTTGAAATCAAAGCTTCGCGCTACAGATCCGGAGTTGGTTGGCAAGCCACCGAGATGGCAGCAATGCGTCGGTCATGTGGATGAGGGTGTCCCATGGAGTGGCTTGCCTGCCGGGCTCGGCTGGATTCTGAGCCGATTCTACCTCGATAAGGCATACTCGAACGAAGCTCGTGATCTGGCTATCAACATGATGGGCACGATCCAGCAGGCCTTTATCTCGCGCCTCGGCGAGAAGGACTGGTTAACATCCGAAGTCAAGAAAGAGGCCGAAGTGAAGGTCAATGCCATTTCGAAAAAGATTGGTTATCCCGACGTGTCTCCGGACACCACAAACCCACGCAAGCTTGCAGATTATTATAATGGGCTCAAGGTTACCGACTCCTACTTCGACAATGCCCTTGCGTTTGCCACTTTCTCTAGCAAGTCGCTATGGGCTCTGCTTGGCAAGCCTGCTGATAAGAACATTTGGCTGCAAACCCCATCAACAACAAATGCTTACTACTCTACAACCTTCAACGACATTGTCATCAATGCTGGTATCCAGCAAAAACCCCTCTATAATGTTGCTTATCCCTCATATGTTAACTATGGCGCACTTGGCACCGTTCTTGGTCATGAGCTCACCCATGGCTTCGACAACAGCGGGCACAATTACGCTGCCAACGGGTCTCTCACAAACTGGTGGGATGAGCAGAGCCTCAAGGCGTTCAGTAATCGTACCAAATGCTTCGCCAACCAGTATCAGCAATTCACGGTCATTGCGCCTAATGGTACGAATGTTCCCGTTCGAGGTAACTTCACGCTCGGTGAAAACATAGCAGATGCCGGAGGTGTGGCGACAAGCTATGCGGCGTGGAAGAAACTACAGTCAGACAAGAAGTCTCAAGATTTCGACTTGCCTGGCCTGCAGAGTTTCTCGCATGACCAGATTTTCTTCTTGAAATGGGCACAAAACTGGTGCGACGTGTCATCTTCGAAGGTGTACGATGTCTACCTGCTTGGGGCCGACGTGCACTCTCCAGGATTCGCTCGTATCAAAGGGCCCTTGGACAACTCGAAGGACTTCCGCAGCGTTTTCAACTGCCCCCAAAGACAGCCTACATGTGAGCTTTGGTAGACGTCCCGCGGGGCCTTGAGACGCCGATAGCCTCGGTTTCCTGTGAGAGAGGAGTATCGCCGGCGATTGATGCTGCCAGGCTGTATTGCTGGGGACTTGGCCCTCCACTCGCTATTCAAGCCTTTATGCATCATAGATTAAATCAAGAATCATTAACCTCTCACAACCCATATGTCAACGATCTCTCATGATGTAATTCCCGCCCATCTCACATTTCTTCTTAGGTGCCAAATACGGACATCCGTCACCGAAAGGAATCGTGCCAACGAGAGTGAGACTCCACCTCAATTCATACGGGGCACTTGGCATGTGCAGGAAAGGAGACTTGAATCGGTGAGACTTGATCGTTTTAGCAAGTCTCATGCTGCGATGCATTTCCAATATGACAGTCGAAGGCTTCGGCGCCTCAACGTGGGCTAAATTTGTTGGATATCATCACCGAACCGGATACCAGGCACAAGATAGAGCTCGTCCCGGAACACGCCCCCGACCTCGTCCGGATCGGCACCGGCTGTGACGGAGGGAAGCCCTTCTTACCCCAGTCCTTGGGGCATATCCGAGCAGATGCTACTTTATCATTGCCCGTGGATCACCCTGTCGATCGTCGAGCTCCAACGCGGTCACCAATACACACCAGAAACGTACATTCGCCAAGATGAGAAAGAAATATCGATAAGTACCTGATTTGCCCCTCCAACTGACAATCAATCTCTAATTGTTACAGAATGCCTGCATTGTGACTATACGAGTGGAAAGCGGTTCTCGCGGCCCATGACCGCACTGTGGCGGTGTGTGGCTTTGCCCACACCCCACTTGCAATTTCGTGCAGGAGAGGGTCCCAGAACATGGGTAAAAATAGGGTACTCATCGGTCTCATCGCAGCTCTCCCCATCGACTTAGACGCTAGATCCATATTCGCATCGCGTTAAGAGGATTTATGATGTCGACTGACGAGCTACCAGCGGAGCTATGGCTGCTTGTCAGCAGCTACGTCTCTCAGTCCGATAGGGCACGCCTGGTACGGGTCAACCACAGATTCCACGACATACTCAATCGCAAACTGTATCTCCAGAGTATACGGGACAACGCGTCGGATTGCGTCACTTACGCCTTGAAGACTGGAAATCTCGATACTCTCAAACGCGCTCATCTCTTCGGCGCGGATATTGCCGAGGCGTATCCCGTGGCACCACTACCATGGGGTCCCATGGGCGACGGAAATCTGGACAGGATGACGACCTGGGGCACCCCGCTGTACCAGGCTGCCGCAGCAGGTATGAGATGGTCAAGTGGCTTCTAGATCAGAATGTCGATGTCGATGGCCCCCGGAGAAGCCTATGCAATTGTATGCCAATCGGGAGGAGGGCAAGGGGCCGGTCCTTCCCCTCCATCTGTCGCCCTGCCCGCACATCCTTACATGTGGCCCTGTGCCAGCGACACAGCTCCGTCGCTCGCCTCCTGCTTTCCGCCGGAGCATCTCTGACAACTCAGTTGCAGGGTAGGTACGCCATGAGAAAGTCCCCTTTCTGGGATTCGGAAGCGGGCGCGGAAACATGCCCATCCCTTCCACCACCCGCCAGAAAGGCGAAGTTCTGGTTAGCAGATGCCCTGCAAAGTTCGAGGCCACATAACGCCCTGCACGATGCGGCTCGTGCTGGGAACTTGGAGGTGATGACCGATCTCGTCAAGAACCGGGGCCTCTCGGTAGACAGTCCTGACAACAGAGACGCCACGCCGATTCAATACGCCTGCGAGTATCGTCCCTCAGAGCGCAATGTACACACGGAGAGAGACGTTGTGTCACATTTGCTCAGCCTCGGGGCCGATGTGGAGATATTTTTCCAACATGGAAACTCATTCATGACGCTGGCACTCGAATTTGCCATCGCTCAGGGTCATATCGAGGCCGCCAAGCAGCTTATGACGGTGGGAGACAGCCTTTGGACCGCTTTTGCAGACAACGGCCCCAAAGAATCACGGCTAAAGCTGTTGTTGCCAGCGATAATTGATACAACCGAGCCCGACTGTAATTCGGTTCTCGACTCGTACGCTCAAGTCGTCGCGGACTTCATCCGGGAGACCCAACGGACGCATCGGCCGGAATATGCCCCGCTTGTAGGAGAACTTCAGTCGACCTTTCTCTTCGTCTGCGAGGTCTCCTGTGGCGTCGATCGCGACTGTATGGATATCCTTCGCCCTTTCATGGACGTATTGGATTTCGGAGACAAAGTGACTTTGGAGCAGAATTGCCCCTTCTTGAAGTTCATCAGACGGAGCTTTGCGGAGCCGGACGGCTTATGGAGCGCAACTTTTCCCTTGACTATGCCTCCCGACAAAGAGCAGGACCGTTTATCGGGCTCTTCTCTCGGCATGCTCGCTCTCTGTGTTACGATTGGTGTGATGGACTGGGACTATCAGGGACGGGCCCTGACGACCTTAAACTGGCTGATGACCCAGGGCGCGAACCCGATCGGCATGCGAGACACCGATCCGGACCCGTCTCTCACCCCCTTTGTCTACCTGATGAAGAAGATCACGGTGGGCCATCCGCGAGAATCGGAGCCGCTGACCTTTGTGTTGGGCTCAATCGGCCCTTTTGTCCGTCTTCTGGTGCAAAAGGGAGCGTGGATCCCGTGCGGAGAGGATGACATCGGAGGAGTTGTTCGAGTATACAAGGCGTGGGAGCTGTGTGTCCGCGACTTACATAAGAGGCCGGAAACCGCGCCAGAGTGGGCTTTCGCGATTCGCGATGCGTTTGATGACTGGTCTGACAGGCCCAAGGTTGAGGAGGTACTGAGGCAGCACGGTCTTATCGACGAAGATACTTGTGTCGATTATGAGCAGAGTGAAGTGTGGGATGAAGAAACCGAAGAGGAGACCGAAGAGGAGGCCCTTTAAAGTGGCATGGAGGAGATTGAAGTGGAGGATACAGAGGAGCACAACAATAAGCATGGATTTGAGTCTACGCTCGAGCTTGACACCAGAGTCGAGGGACTGGAGAATGGCGAGCTTGACGCATTGTCGGATTCGGGGTGAGAAAATGGAGACTATTACTAGGATGAGTGGGAGGTTGAAGGAAGGGTATGGGGGATGTTGGAGAAGAGGTTATTTAGATTAAGGTGATCATGAATACGGGCCTCGAGGCTCTCAGAGCTCTACAGGCGTTGACCTGAGCTTGAAGGAGGTTGCGGCCACGAGCACCCTATTTCAACGGCGTGAGCCGAGGCAGAAGTGAGATATACGAATAAGTTGTAGACGATACCCAGGTATACAGGGCTCTGGAAGTCGAATTCCTCGAAAATGTAATGAGATGTAATTTATAGTGAAAGAGAGCAACATGATCCTTATCTTCTACTTTTCACAAAATTGCACACACGGGAAAGTCTCCAAATACGCTCAAAATGACTCAAAATCTCATTCAATAATAGCTAGCAGGTTCATATCAGTCGTGTCATGAAATACTCCAACCCCGCTGAAATGCTGTGAATCCCTCGCTCGATCATGACGCCGTATGCTGAACTTGAACCCTGATAAATGCTCAAAATATTACATCCTCTGTCAGGGCATGCCTCGCATCAGCCCGACATCCTTATCGAAATGGCCAGCTCAGATGATACAAAAGTCATCAAAATACCAATCCCATCCCATCTCAAAAAGCAGACGCCTCCTCCATCTCCCTGGTGTACAACACCCCCTCAATCTCAGGCGTCCACTTCATCGCCCTCCTAACCTTCCCAAGCGCCGTCCTCAACTCCCCCCACGTCCAAAACTCATCCATCAACCCATGCGCTTCGGCATATAAACTCGGCAAGCGGTACTCATCCTCCGCAGGACCCAATAACCTCACAATACCGCCGTTCCCAACCTCCTCCTCCAGCTGCGGAAGCGGCTTGAACTCGATAAAGACGGACAGCCTCCTCATATCGGTGAAACACCGCGAACAAGCCCGCAGAGCCTCCGCGATACGCCGCTCGTCGAGGAGAACGGACCAGTGGATCCCTACATTCTCGATACCCGGTTTCGTGGTCCAGAGTGAATCCCACGCGCCGAGCCGCGTGCGGTAGACGAGCGGTGGGAGGTAGATGATATCCGATGAGGGCACGAACTCCAGGGCAGGCGGCGGCGACGGGCGGGAATCCTTTTGGACGTCGTACGGGTGCGGGAAGGACCGGAGAAGGGCGCGAGTGGCTTTTCGCGATTCTGCGTTTGTGATGAGGGCGGCGGCACGGGGGTGGCGGTACTCGCGGGGCGGCTTGATGAGGTGGGTGTCTTCTCGGTATTCGAAGACGCGGGGCTGCGAGCTGAAGGTTTCCCAGATGAGGAGGCGGAGCTCGAGGGGGAGTGTCATGAAGGGATGACAGCTTTGCGGGGGTGGGAGATGTGGCGGTGTCATTGTTGGTTGTGAAGATGTGAGGATGGCGTTTGTGGTTGACATTATGAGGTTGCTTTCACAGCAGACGTGTATGTAGCTCAAACTATCCGGCCACTGTACCCGTATCAATCTGCGCTTTCTTAATTACTGGCCTCGTTCAATCGCGTGAGATGGTAGTCTAGGATTTGAAAGATGAATGGTGACTTTATAGCAGTGTGTTATCTGACGTATGTAACCGCAAAGCGAGATAAGATGAGATGAGATGAGATGGGACGGAAGGAAGGTGACAGAACGTCAGCCTTTTCAGCTCTCCGGACATCGGGCGGCTGAAGTATGTTGGCCGCCCCGTCAACCGATGAACGCGGAATGCCTGCGTCGGCGGCCCTAGCGGCGGGAACGTGGTCTCACTTTGGCAGCCATTAGCCATTTGTTCCTCGGCTTGTGTGAAGAAACAAGTCTCTCGTGGTAGAATAGATTACTTGTAACCTGGGATGGAGGGATCGCCTGTCATGACGTCGGATGGTTTTTTTTTTTTTGGGCCAACACTAATGAACCGGCGTGGAACTACTCCGTAGGTGGTGAAAACCTCTCTTACCGCCAGGTGCCATGCACATCCGGGAAAAACGGGTTGAACCCTGTGAGTTTATCCTGCATCATGAAACTTTGAGCGATGGGCATGGTTTCTTATCCGCATGTTATTCCCAGGGTTTTCCAGAGGCTAACATGCGAATGTAGCGTTGCGACTAGAGATATGTCGTAGTCAAAGGACAAGAGTGACTAAGTGAGCTGCTGTGCTCATCCGGAAGATCCGGTATGGAAGGCGGCACTTGACTCCGACGCCGGGAAAGCTTGAATAGACGAAAAAAAGACCCCTTCGTCAACGTTGCGTGATCGGGCCTGGATTCTCTCGCGACAATCAAGGCTTGTTCTCCACCGGTGCCCGCTCATCTCTTGAGTCGGTCGCAGTCCGTGACTAGTGTCCGGCGGCGTGACCGAAGGGATGCCCCATGTAGCATTGTGCCGTCACTCACCTAAGGTACCTCAGGTACCTCCAAAGTTCCAATATGGCTATCTGACGAGGAATTATCTTGTTGATTGCAGCAATCAAACTTACTCAGTAGCTCATAGCATATTTGATCCTTCGCGTTTACTCATCTTATCGGTGAGGGAAATTTGGGGGCGTTTTTCTTATCTCTTTCGAGCCAGGGTTCAATTGAGTTCACTGGCGCGAAAAATTTCGGGAATAAAATACGAAAGCTTGGGCGGATGGGAGGCATTGGCCGCCGCGGCGGTGCGGCGCCGGTCATCGGCGATGTGGGTATTTTCCGCCGGGTGGGTCACGAACGGCGCAGGACCGGGCATGGTCGGTGTATGAAAGCTTGGAAGGCATCGCCACCGCCTTCTCTCCCTACAGCGACTGCGAGACCATTAATTCAAAGATGTGGTCGCTCAGTAGAAGTCCAGGGCCTTGGTAGGGCGAAGGAACGTGCTGTCTCTCGCGTACCAAGGAGGTTTCTAGTATTCAATCTCACACGAAGAACCCGCCATTATACGCTTCTAGCTTCGTTTCAGTTACACGCAATACTTTTAAACGCAAATTATGAATCGCCAGACTGATAAGACACGGAGGATGCACTTTCAGTGGAAGGTTTAGTGGCCCGCAGGAGTGGAGTCCGGAAGACGAGAACGGCTCGGTGGGGCCAGTCTTCCGGAAGGAGGCCGGGGCCGTACTTCAACGACGAGCCGGAGAGTCCCTTGGGATATGATTTTCAGAGGGCTTTTCCGGCTGCGCAATATTCTTTGAATCAAGATTCTTGAGTTTGTCTGCAAGGAGAGTCAATGGAGAAGGAGAAAGGTTGAGCTATCTCCTCGTTCCTTCCAGGTTCTCGTTGGTGGTTGCGGTTACCCTGATGATTTGCACCGAAGTATATAATTACCTTGGATTCTCCTTACCTTCGTGCTTCAAAACTTCCTGAAAGACTTCTTACCATCTTCAGTAAGTTAACTTACAAATGTCCTCGAATTCATCGCATTGGTCGTCTTCACACACCACCAATCACAGCACACGTCCCTTACTGACGCCCACCATGTCGTCAACTATATCGCGCGTGGGATTTCCCGCCGAAATCTGGCTATACGTCTGCAATTTCCTCGACAGTGTCGACGTCGCTGCGCTCGCGCAAGTCAGCATCGAATTTCACATGAACCTTCAGAAGGAGGTTTATATCGCGGCGATGCGCGATGACAACACCGATATCATTGTGAGGAGCGCCGCGACAGGGAACCTGGCCACTCTCCAGCGCATAGCGTCGCACGGCGCGAACATGAACAAGACTTATCCCGCCGATCCTCCCCAGCATCTCAAAGACTGGGTCGAGTGGGCGAAGAGGCGGGACAGTCAAGAGGTTCCAAGCAAACAAGGTGTCGAGGTCGCACTGTCGAAAGCCTGCTTCGCGACCCCCTTGCACCTCGCCGCGAAGGGCGGGCACTACGATGCCGTCCGGTGGCTTCTAGACCAGCACTCTGTCGACATGGAAATGCCGGCGAGGTTTCTATGCCACTGTATTCCTCCAGGCACTTATCGGGCTCCCGCGGGTCCAATTCTGGTAGGGCAAGCCGTGCCGGCCTGGACGCCCTTACACATAGCCATCTGTAACCAACAAGTCTCCGTCTCCCGCCTGCTGATTGCTCGCGGCGCTTCGACTCGCAGTACAAACGTGGGCCACCGCTCTTCAAAATTCCCTCGCTTCAACCAGGCCTTCGACACTTACTGGTGGGGGTTGGATCCAACAGAGTATCAGGGGCCAGGAATGGTGTCCGCACTCCAATCTGCCGCCCTGTCCGGCAACAGATCCATCATCACAGAGCTCATACAGCGCATGGGAACGGACGTTGACGAAGTCGTGGAAGAAGGCGGTGCGACGCCGCTGTATTACGCTATAGCGGCGTCTGATACGCACACGGTGGCTCTCCTGCGACGTCTCGGGGCCAGGCCAGAGCAGTCCTTCGAGTCGTACGCGTTGAATGTCAATTACGACAACGTTATTGAATTCGCTCTGGCCAGTGAATGGCCCGAACCGATAACCAGCATTTTCGAATTCTCTCGCACCAAAACAAAGTCAGGTACGGCAACCTGTCTCATTTCAGAACCAGGCGCGGCCTGGTGCAGTTCTCCAGGCAGCGACGAGAAAGTCGTCTCGAGACTGAGACGATTACTCTCAAAGGCAAGATCCCAGCATTGGACCAAAGATTACTACAAACATCTGGCACCGGGTCTGGACGAGAGGATGTCGGATATCTTGCGCCATACCAAGAAGCAACACGAACCTCACTTTGGGCCTCTTGACCAGGAGATGCTCGATTGCTTCTTGATTGCGTGCCAGTGCAGCTGTCCAGCGCTAGAGACCTCCACCCTTAAAAGGTTTCTGTTGCAGCCAGAAGTTAATCTCAAAAAAGTTGTCGATCATCGAGTTGGGTCTACAGTGATAGAATACTACGACGCTGAGTCTTCGATTCATTCAGATGTAGCCGTCGAAGAGGATCATTTCCGCGTCACGACTTGCACTATCGGCCTGCTTGCGCTGCATGCGACTATCAACGCAATCAACCCCCGGGCCTTTCCCAGAGCATACAAAGAAGGCAATGCGGCCTTGGTTCATACGATCGAGTGGCTGATTACGGAAGGGGCTTCTCCCACTATCACACCTGGTATGGATCTGAAGTGGAGTCCCCTTCGTTACTTCTTCGACACTATCACGGAGACTTGGCCCTGGGACTGTGTAACAGATGGTTATCAGGGTGATTATTTGGCTGAAGAAGTAGCCGACATTGTCAAAGTCCTTGGGGAGGGTGGTGGATGGTTTCCCTTGGGGGAAGAGGATGACGAGGCAATGTTAAGCACTGTACAAGCCTGCCATAATGCCCTGGAGCGTGTACTGCCAGTAAAACCCTATCGCAGGGATATCGAGATTATACGAGCTCGCAATGAGATCGAAAGCTGTATGCCGCCCAGAGTTCTTGGGGCTTGGAGGATCTTGGGTTCATGAGGGGGTTCTTGGGGCGCTGGGCGGAGACGTTCGGATGGCTTTTGTCCTACATACGCTCGACTTAGAATATCAAAGTGCTGAATGGCCATTTTGAGCCTTTGTTCCCTCGCCTATGTGATGTGGCAATGTAGACTGTGGTAGAGCAAAGTCACCATCCCCTGACTCCGCGCTGCCATAATGAAAGCCTCCACATCGCCTCATGAAGCCTTGGCCATCATAGGTAGGCCATGGAACTTAATCCTTGATGAACCAAAGTCGGCTTCGTCATCTCCACTGACATCGCGAAGCAGACGACAACCTCGCTCGCCGCTCTAGGGCGACGCTCTTCTTACGTCGTGCAGCTTCATGCTGATGTCTATAGCTCAACTGAGCGACAAGCAATTCTATCAAACCCGTCCTGCTCCTCAAAGTTCTTCCACCCCTCCATCAAAATCGATCATCGCCTTAGTTCCGTTTCGCAGTTGAAACCCAGACGTTGATACTCAAAGCACGTCTAGAGTCTAGCGTCGGCCCCGGAAGCTTTAGCCACGCTTCCCCTAGTCCACCAAAGCCTACTAGCCTAGCTTCAACTCATTCGAGACGGCCTGCCAGCGCCCGGACGTTGAACGGGCAAGACGCCTCTCCCATACGCCTCGTGGCCTCCTCTTCGTTCCACGCCGGCGCCGGATGTAGTGTCACAAACGTACTTTCGGAGCCGGCTGGGTGTTTCTGACACTTCAGATCATCGTCCAGTTCGTCCAATGGCATCATTACGTCTCAACCTGACGTTGGCCGCCACCGGAGCTGGTCATCGCACCGTCGCCAGTGCTCTTACCCACATCATTCAGATAGAGGGTGCCCCTGAGACTAATGTAGAATAGCTGGTCAAATCAGATCTTCAAATGAACCCCCATTCACTCTGATGTTGAATCATCCGCCTCTGACAAACATCATGGCAACCACGCCACCCATCGACGATCAGTCAGAACGCTATCTCGTAGCAATCTCGCGAATAGCCCCCGCAAGACCAATGATGGACTGCAACCCGCGCCATCCTACCTCACCTCGAGAGAGCCGGAAAATCGGTTCCGATCTTGTCAACGTCTGAGCGCCGACTTGGGAGGGCAACACTGCAGCCGTGGCAGTGTCAAGAGCATGTCAAGAAAGCACGCCAGCCACCTTCTCGGACGCCTGAACGCCAACTTGCATCTCGGATTCGGGTTTGTTGATGGGCGATTTGACGAGACTCTGCCGAGACATTGAGAAAAAAGAAACGTCAACGACGAGAGAAACCCGAACAGCTTCGTGGTTTGAACCAAACATGTTCAAAATCAGGTCCAATACCACCGTCCATCACTGTTCAAACGGTCAAACCACATCAGAATCTCGATCTACATTAAGCATCACAAACGTTCACTTCCGCCATTGATGATCCAGAACCTGCATTAGCCCTCCCACCCACGATTCACTGCCGGTACCAACACAGCTCACCAGAGAACCACCACTGCAACCCATCCTTCGGCTTCCACCCGCTATCAAAACACCGAGAAACAAAGACTGAATCCTACCTTACGCACTTAATGCAAGGCACGCCGCGGGAAAAAACCATCGAACTACACCGCAGACCGCAGACGTTCATTTCTTTCCCTTGTGCCTTCCCCCTCCTGCTGCATATCGGTGCCCGCGCCGCAGCCAAGAAGTGGCCGTACCCTCAGATTAGCCCTGCAAAGATGCACCCCAGGCCTGCATGCCCAGCCCTCATCTACTCCTAACCCCCAACATACGCATGCGCGCCCGCGAGCCGCGAGCCGTAAGCCGCGAAAAAGAGTAGCACTCATACTCCGTAGTTCCGTACCAAACGCCGTTCGTCACTGGTTGACTACCAAAAGCCATCCGCACGGGCGTGGCGGTGGGGGAAACCAGAAGAAAAATATAAGCCACAATAGCAAAAGGTAAGCCCAGGGCATCAAGACATGGCACCGGCACACGTCCACCACGTCAACTCGTGCCGTCCTGCCGCCGTCGCATCCACCCAAAAGACGCAAGAACTCTTTTTGCCCTTCTCCGTTGCGCGGGGGGGGAGTCAAAGGTTACAAGTTCGCCCCTCTCATGTCTCTTCTCCCCCGCTGAAGTCAGGTAAAGGCCTGGTAGGAAGTCAATTACTAAACCCGAGAAAACCTGCCGTTTCCTGGTAGTTGCCAAGGATGTAAGAAAGAATGAGGGTAGCCGGCCAAACGTTCGCAATCGCCCTCCCACCACCCGGAAAGCTCGAAAGCTCTCCCCCCAATCCACTGCAACCCTATCAAAACGGGGTTCAGCGGGTGGGCAGGGGAGGTATGTAGGCAATATGGGTGGTGGGCAAAGTTCACAAGACCCAGGGATACCATGCCGTGCAGTATCCCGTGCAGTGCGTCCGCACGTAGCCGCGTTCCCCCCCTCCAGAAAAGCCGCATCGAATCATGAACAGTCCCTCCCGGCCAGAGTTTGCGGCTCTCTGTCAGACTGTCGTCAGAACTACAGCTGACATCATGTCAAGCCCCTTCAGACATTCAGAGTTGGCCCAATGATCCCTCCAACTGGGTGTCCTCATATTCCTCCATCAGAAACTGTGAATAGTACTGTACCCAGACAGTCAAGGGCGGAGGGTCACACAGAAATGAAAGGATTGAGAAGGAAGATAATACCCTGACGCAACGACAATCAAATCCCATCGGCGCCAAGTTTACCAACGCTCTCAACGGCCACGACTCCATCCCCGAACACACGCCAGCGTACCATCGTCACAACTGAATAAGCCACCTCCCCCTCTAACCACATGGCGAACGGAGACCTCCTCAATGCCTGACCATGCTTTGCCGTCGCGGCGTTGCCTTTTTTGCCTCCCTCCTCCCCATCGCCATTGGAGTATCCATACTGGCCAAAAAAGCCTGGGCCAGACAAGATCCAAAAATGACCCGGATCCTCTATCCCCTCCTCTCTCTCCACCCCCACCCAACCAGCGTCGCGGGAAGTTTTGAAACCAGGGGTTCCCCGGTCTCCCAAGCAGTGAATGTACTGCAAATCGCCCGCTGCCAGATGGTGGAATGATGATGCCGGGAATGATGGGACCTGTCAGTGGCCCTACCAGAACCAAAAGAATGGGCGAATTGGTCAGGCCTCCCATGAGCAATTACTATATGCGCCACTGCTGATGGGACTCAGCTCAGCCCCCCAAAATCAAGACCCGACTCATGAGCTTTGCTGATCTGTCCATGTCAGCCGAAGGGGAGAAAATAGCTTTGAGGCATGAGGAAAAAGAGTTCATCAAGACAAAAGATCGGATTGCTGTCGAAAAAAGAAAAAAAAGACGACTCGCGCCGGTAAAGCCGAAGACTGCGTACGCTCGGATTCGTCATGCGGTCATGGGAATATGGCCTCGGCCAAGAGCAGGGACCCGCGAGTGTGGCTAGGGAGAAAACCGGATTGAGGTATCATGAGTTTTTATTTTCATTATGGATCGAGTCCACTTGCTACGTAAGAGTCCAGGATGGACTAGTTCAGAGTCCATCCTCTCCATGCCATGCCTCTGTGAAGTCGCTTCCAACGCTCGATGCTTATGCCTAGCACCTGAACTATCTGGATGTGACAGAAAATGTCCTTTTTTCGAGCTAAATGACGAAGTCCATGTTACGAATAAAGGACGACGCTCTCCATGTGGTATCATATCAAAGACAAATCGCAAAAACGTGTAAATCCAGCCAAAGAAGAATGTGTCAAGGAATGACGGGTCGTAATCATCTAATATCCGTTGCACTGGTCGCGTTGGTATAAATCAGAAAACGGTCGTGTCGGCGTGTTTAAAGTGTGGCGCTGGCGTTGGCGTTAATTAAGGCGTGGCGTCCTCATCGACCAAGGTTTGTAGGGTCATGGGATCTCGGAGGCGTCGAGCCTTGTGAATGGCGACGAGGTAATCGACGAGGCCTTCGGCATCTGCGCGCAATGCGTCCAGCTCCTCCTTGGTACATCCGGTTGTTTGTGAGTCCTTGCTTGGATAGCGGTAGGCGGCAAAGACAATGCCGCGATCGTTCTGGGCCACGTCTTGCGGACCCGGACTGCGGGGACTCGAGTTTGCGGAGCCCCTTCGACCTGTGGCCGTGTGGAAGGCGTGGCCGTAACCCCGTGCAATCTCGCCCGCCTGCGCGTCGTCGCTGCGGTATTCCATCCAGCCCTCCTGCTTCAAGATTCTGGACTGAACTGTGGCCGAAATGCGGAAAGGGCTAGTCAGGTTCGACAAACCGTAGGCGGCGAGCAGACGCCCAGTCATACCGGGAGTTGTGTCCACCGTTGGTCCATCCATGGGCCCCAGAAGAGAGTTTCTCATGCTTGAGGGCCTTGATGAGAAATCCAGAGAAGAGCGGAACGTGGGCGACGACGATTCTGACGCTCCTTCGGGCCACAAGTTGACGATATATACAAGGTCAAACTTGTGCTTGGCCGCGATCTGGGCAACCTGCAGCGCTCCTTCTTTGGCGACGTCTTCAGCATGAATAGAAGATGTCCGTCGCTTGGAACCGACCGATGACACCGTATAGGCAGGGGTCGGCGGTGAGGGTGGTAGCCGCAAAGGTGCCGGCATAAACGGGGTTTCCGGGGTATCCTCCAACTCTGGCTCTTCCAAGATGTCTTCGTCGGAGAGATTGAAGAAATCCATGACATCTCCACCTTTGAGGATCTGGCTTGATGAAGTGATGGATCTGTGAGGTCTGGACTGGCCCTGGGGCCGACGCAAGGCAGCTGCCTTTTCCTCTCTTCGACGTCTTGTCGCTGCAGCAGCCGCCTTCCTCTTGGCCAAGCTCAACTCTGCAGAATCCCGAGATCTCATGTCGTTGATGGGCCTCATTTCTGGAGATGCGGCAGGTGTTGGCAGGTCTCTGCTGAGTGAAGAAGAAGGCCGGCCCTGGGATCCCTTTATGCTTGAGTCGTCCTCGTGGTCCGAGGTAGGTGGGGTGTCGGCTCTGGGAGGGATGATGACAGAGCTGTGGCGGTGCTCGAGAGAAACTTTATGCGTTGTGGGGAGGGTTCTCGGAGAGAAAGTGGCACTAAAAGGCGAAGCCGGGGATGGGGATGTGGGAGGAAAAGGAAAATCGAATCCACGCAGACTTGCCACCGGCTTACTTTCCCTGCGGTGATTGAGCGACATGGAGCGGGCTGGAAGAGTAAGAGTTGTCGTGCTTGCACTGCTGAGGTGAGAAATGTGTATTGAGATACGCTCGGACTGGTTTTCCGGGAGGCTCTGGGCACGTCTCTCATTTTGTGATGCTACAATGCGCTCCTCTCTAGCCTTCATGCGGGAGACTCGTGGACGGATGAAAGAAGGCTGAGGGAAACTGTGGTCTAAACTTGCAGTCCTGGGACCTGATGACTCCATGGTTGGCGTTGATGGGCTTGTTTGGACGGAGAAGTCTTTTTTCCGGGAGAAGAGCTTCTCCAAGCGGTCGAAGCTGGTAGGCATGGTGAAAGAGGTCGAACGACGACTACTTGCGCGTGTTTGTCTGATCTCCAGAGAGTTTTGTAAGTTCTTTGCGCTCGGATGTGAGATTGGCAGGAGGGCCACTTGGGCAGACAAGAATAAAACATACCAGATATGAGACGTGGTTATAAGTATTATGAGTTAAGTCGACCGCGAGAGGCGGGTGGTTGGTATGACGAGGGGAAGAAATTTTTAGAAATCAATCCTGTGAGAGGGACGTGTGTGGTCGTCGAGACAATGAGGTGTGAGGGAAGGAGCGAGGTAGAGAGTAAAATTGGGAAGAAGAGGCCTCGGCCACAATGTTGAGAGCTGACCAAAGTGAGGTCACAGTGAGACAGAAAGTTCGGGGGCCACGAAAGTAGGCAGGAACACCCGGGCAGAAGTAATGGTAGACCAGGAGAGGCCAACAATTGGAGTGAATCGAGTCTCACTGGATCAGCTAAGTGAATCCAGAACACCCCAAGGTGACGCGAGAGTTGAACCGGTAATCAGGCGAAGGGTCAGACACAGGAATGAAGTGGTCCCTCGTCTGCGCGACGTCGGCTGAACGAACTCGAGAGCAATGAGCCGAAGAATGGGCCACACAGAAACCCTGACTGAGAATGTCGTGGAGAGATTGGCTGGAGGCGGTACTTGTACGATCAAGATTGTACGACTCTTCGGTGAGACAGGTCGTCAAGGTGAGATGGGTCGTGATATATAAATGGCGGGCATCTGGTTTTTTTCCCCTGAGCTTCTAGGTCGTCGTCGACCGAACGAAATGGTTGGGTGGGAATGGGGGGCGTTTTGTAGAATTGTGCTGCCAGAAGGAAAAGGCGAGACACGATATGGGAATAAGAAAGGTGGAAAAGTGGAAAGAGGTAGTAGGTACCGCAGCCTTCGGTATCAGTCGGATGAAGCTGTAGGCAAGGGGTAAAGGCAAGGAAGGTAGCTCAGCCTGGAGGTTGAAGCTGGAGCTAATGGCAAATGTGACTGTGAGGTGAGGGTGAATACGATAGGACAGAGCAGGGGATTAAGTTATAAGGATGCTTATGATGGAAAATTAAAAGTCGACCGAAGATCAGCATAAGACCGAGGGTGAAGTACGGTACTGAAGGCTAAGTAGGGACACGGGCATGAAGAGAGGGACCGGAGAAGTGAAGGCTTTAAGATATGACAGTCGAGGCTGGTTGAAACGCGGCGACGGGACGGGCCAAAAGACTGAGGTACTTTTTGAGGGTCGAATACTCCTCAAGGCGAGTGTGAGAGGGTGAAGGTGACGGGACTCGGGAGGGTGAGGGTGCGCTCAGATGTAGAGGTAGCGTCGGGGTCAGAGATTCGGGTCGAGGGCCAGATCCAGGTCCATGTCCATGTCGAGCTGCAGCAACGCCGGGGAAGGTAAGTGTGGCTGCTGTCTAAGGTCCTGTGTGGTCTCTGACACTGTCGAGAACCAGTGTCTCTGACGTGAAGTATCCGTATGGAGGAGAGAGAGGTTCTAGCGGGCGTGGGAGCAGGAGTGGACGTGGTGGCCAGTAGGAGTGGGTGAAGGCGAGGGAACGAGAGGACGAGGGCGTATTGTCCCGCTGTATTAGTGCGAAGAAAGGCGAGGACTGTGAGCGAAGTTCGAGATGGATGTCTTAGATTTTGTGGACGAGACATGAAAAGTGCAAAGAGTGAGGGTGAGGGTGAGAGTGAGACGAGAGACGAGAGACTGAGAGTCTGAGAGGCGGCGAGAGACGGGTAGGGAAGAAGCTAGACGGCTGGATGAAGCTAAGAAGATACGTACCGAGGAGTTCACCACAAGCCGGTGCCACATGCGTAGCCATCCCTGGAAAGGCGCAGACCGGGGGTGAGTCCGCGGGCGGGAGAGGCAATTGGAAAGTGGGATGGTGGGGTGGGGCGCACCTTCTGGCTTCGCGCTTTCTGGAGCAAGGGCAGGAGCTCTCTCAGTCGCAACTGCTCAGTCAAAATTTCTTCCTTCTTTCCCTCCCGACCAGTATGGATGTGGGTGGACACGGCAAGAAAGAAGCAGGGGTGGTTTCTCATGGCTCAGCAGGGATTGTGCAGGGTTCTTAGACGTTGTGACTGGATATGTTTCTTGAGGGGGTTCATTTGGGGCCTAGCTACGGCTCTGACACAATTCGAGGGAAAGAACAGCCCGAGGTCGACCTCAAGCTACGGATTCTCAGAGGGCAAGAGCAAGCAAGCTGCAACACTAAGGTGATAACTACGGTAGCAAACCCGGAGGCAGGACCGATCGTGAGAGGCAGCGCAAAGCAGAGCACCTGAAATAAGGTGCATATCTTGACTGCCCTACCTTACCTTAATTCTTACTTTACCCCATGCTCAGGACCGAAGAGCCAATTGACGCCCAAAGGGCATTGTCAAAAGGGAAGAGAAGCGCATGAGCCGATGCAAGGGCAGAAGCACCCAGCTCTGCATGGCCCTCTTTTTGCTGGTTTTTTTCCCTTGCTGTGCTTGTGTTCGTCAAATGCTCAAGGTATCTTTCCCGGCGGATCCTCCTGCCACTGCACCTACCTGCACCTGCACATTGAAGGTAAACATCGTATGTACTTTTTCACTCGGTTCCTACCTTGGCTGAGGTGGGTGCCTACCTGGTATGAGAAATGAGACAGACGGCAAGGACGATGGAGGAGGACCAAGAGGGAAAGAGCACCAGTGCACGGAACAAGGGTCCTTCGTTCCTTCCCTGCTGCATCTGCAGGTGACGAACCTTTTTCCTTCGAAGTTCAGTGCCCGAGTGCTGAGGTAATTAACACTGGAAGTAAGGCATCTTTCAGTGCTTTCCTATCGCCATCTCGAGTTCTTGACAGTCATCTTCTGTTCCCGTCATTTTCTCGACATTTCTATCATATTCGCCCAGACCTACTGGCTTTTTGCCGCTGCACGCTCTATGCCCTTTTCGCTGCCTCTTTGATCATTTTGTTTCGTTTCGTTTCTTATTCCACTACCGGGCCAATATGATCGATCCCCTCCCAACGACCCTCCGATCCTTCATCGCGCATCGTCGCCCTATCTTCGTCACCTAAACACGAAAACAGGATATACCAGCCGTCTTGACAATGCCAGCTCCTCAGTGGTCCCCCAATCTCTCTCTGGCTCTCGAGCCGTCGTCCATGCTAGACCTTCCGAGGGCCAATCACTCCCGCAGCTTCGAGGCTGAATTCGGACCCTCTTCCGTCAGTCACCAGAGTCTTTTTGTGTAACACAGTGACCTCCCTGGTCAGTATCGAGCAGGTTTGCTTGTCATCTGTCGGCGGGGGAGAGCGACATCCACCAGCCACTCCTGCCATCTCTCAAACCCATCACGGCCGTTACGTCTTGTCTCTCGTCGCAAACAGCCTCGCCGCCACCCACCAGAGGTCGATCCTGACAAGATGCGAGACGCATGACATGAGATAGTCTCAACTCAAAGAAAGACCTCAGGAGTCTTTGGTACCGATACCTACGTCGCATCATACCTCTTTTCTACCATGTCGCCAGGCATTGGGCACCGAACAAGCCTTTTCTTAAACGATTACGCACTCTATTCGCCGTGAAGCAACGCCATGCACGACATCTGGCGAGCCTTTCAGAGACGTTGAGAGTTGCACCCCCGGATTCAGGCACACTTCGGGCAGCTTGACCCAGGCACGAATTGTGCCAGTCCGCACCTAGTTTGATATGATGCCGCTGTGATCGGCCTCTGCACCCCGGCTCTCTCCACCATCACGGAAGCTTGGACTTAACGCCGTCAAATATTGACAGCAGCACCCTGTGCAACCTTTCTCGCTTGCATGCAACCGGGCTCGAGCGTCGTCTTCAACACTGGCTGTCACCTTTTCCACCACCTCGTGCCTGTTGATCCCGCAGACACGACTCGCTTTGTCGTCAGAGCGCAAATTCCTGGCAGATAATTGGCGCATTGCATAGCCAGGGCAACACGACGAACGATTTCGAGGCCGACCTGGCAGCCGCACTACTTCTGTTACCTGTAACCCTCTGAGGGCATCACCGAAAAGATCGCCGCCGCTAATGCGAACACGCAAAACTTGTCAACATCAGATGAGTGTCCTCATTGCAGCCACAATGACCGCAGGGTGCTGCATCGAGCCAATAAACCAGCACTATGAGGGTGCAAGCAGGCCAGTTGAAGGAAGCTTTGCATCTTCTTACACAATGCCCTACTTCCAGGCTTTCCTGTATCATTACAAAGTACGGATGTCAAGGCCGAGTGGACGATTCTTTGTTGTCTCCAACATGGCAACACCAAGTTGACCCAGAGAAAATCCACCGGGATGCCACCCTGGCATCGGAAGCGTCCCATTTCTATCAACGTCCCAACACGCAATTTACCCTCCGGCGCTGCTTTTCCCCGACTGGATTCTAAGAATTGGGCCCTCGGCAGCGTCTCCGTATCAAATCTTCCCTCAGCTCCGCTTCCTAGCTGGGCCGTTGTCATAAACCTTCATTGCTGAATGCAGTCACGAACTTTCCTCCTAGTTGACAGCCCAGCCACCAATGGCTTGAATTTCTTGACGAGACGAGACTACGGCCGCGAAACGTCCCGGCCCTAGGGTCCAGACTTCAGATCCAAGAGCTTGATCGGCTCGAATGAAAAAAAAACGCCCCTTTCTCTAGTAAGAGATCCTTGCTCAGAGGAGTCCCTGGATTTAGTCCTATGTCGGAACAGGCACAGCCAACCGCTCTTGTCACAGAAATCTCTCAGTTTTTTGCTTTTAAACGTCTGTTCGACTAGGCTGGAAGACACCCCACTCGTAGATCGGCCCGTGACACCAGCGACCTTGAGCCACGAAGCCATATTCATGTTGTGAGTGCGGGTCTAGGGAGGACTTCCAAACGCAAGGGGCAGGCCAGCTTGACCAGCGTCTTGCGCAAGGGGGATTCGTCAACAGCAATGGGAAGAAACGCCTAGAATAGGTGTCGCTAAGCAACTTCTGCTCGCAAAGCCCGATTGGAAGACTCTTCAAGAACTCGCAACTCTTTGGCTGACCGGGATTCCGCAGCTTGATGCCAATGCCCGAGCTCGTCTTCAACAGGGACCTGCCTACCTTTGTCGGAGCCGCTCTTCGGTCGCGACTCGACAGCCCGTGCCTACCGCAACCTCATGTGACACAAACAACGTCGTGTCCTTCCTCTACGATACGATCCAGAGCTGACAGATGCTGGCAAGTTGGGTCGTCGCCTCACTCCTACCGTCAAGCCCGCTTTCGAGACTCAAGTCAGTTTACAATGGAAGCGGTCTAGTCACTTTGGTGGTCTCAGGTCATCGTCGACCACACGATGGGCAGTTCTTTTGGCATACCTTCACCCAATCCCGACTCTGACCTCTCATCAATGGACGATTTTCCGATGGATATTCATCAGCAGCTTTACCGTTTCCGGGATTCTCATTCGATCACAGGGCAGACCCGCTCCAGTACGGAAACATCGCACTGGTGACTGAGACAATACCTCCGGACGCCGTACTCACGCTTCCGGATGCAAGTCGACGGTCGCCAAAGTATCTAGGTAGCTCGACCTGAGAGGGGCAAGCTCATCCAATTGACCGTCGTCAGTGAGAAGATACCACAAATCATGAGGGCTGGTGATTGGCCATGGCGGCGTCAGCCAATACACAAGCACTAGTTATGGCAGTGCCGTCAAGCGAAGGTACGCCACAGTCTCGACTGATTGCTTTTCCGACTTCGGTGTGGACACCGCCTCTGCCACCTCCCTCACAGGTCAAATGATTTAGCCAGTTTGTGAGCCACCCAATGGCGCCGATTTTGGGTGTGCCCTTCGTAAGCTGTCGACAAGAGGCCAAGCAGGTGTAAAAGTGCTGCAAATTACTTCAGGAAAGAGACCCATGGCACACTTTACACAGCGGCTAACAACATGGTGTCCTCTGAGGTATCTCGTGGCGAAAGTCACCGCGGCTGTACTATTGTGCATCCGATAAAGATGGGGTTTCCAATACCTACTGCTAGACTTGAGACCTGCATAGTAGGTGTTGCGCGAGGCAACCAGCATCTAGAGGAAAAAGCAATGACTACGAGGCATGATAACTTGGCCATCGTGTCATGCAACTTGTCGAGCGTGGGCATTACTTACTTCTGTCCGCGACTCGCGAGTTCGAGTCGATATTTCCTGTCCACTGTATCCGCAATGTCAACTGCCAATCACTTGAAACGCGTACTGGCCCTGTCAATATTCTTCCCCATGACAGAAAAGGGAAAAATGACATCGTAGTAGTCAACGACAGCAAACCAGCTTGGCGGAGGTCGCTAGCCGAGTCTCGCAGCTGTTCATCGCCTTTCTTCCCGCCCAAGGTACTCAAAGAGTGCTTGCTCCTAGACTTGATGCGACGTTGGTCCCGAAGCAATTGGCATTGCGCTCTACATAACCAGATCATCTGCCGTCAATTATTGCATATGGTCCACGGATGGATCGACAAGTTTACAAGACTGCGATGCGACTAAGCATCAATGCCATATCACCAAATACGACTGTCTATCCAGGCAAGCCAGGCTCCATAAGCTCCTATCCCGCGTGACAGGCATTACAAATTCTTCAGCTCATCTCCTCTTCAGCTTACACAAATACTACCACGGTTTCGGTCGTCCAAGGTTTTTCGCGTCCTTGCGGGCGGCCGTAACATATAGTAGTCGTACTGTGTGTCCAGAGCACATTGGCTGTTCTCGTGTCACGGAGGATGAGCTTAGCAAGTTCTTCCCACACTTTCGTTAATCCGATCTCTTGTCATATCTTGTCGAGTTAACCATGAACGGCTAGATTTTCCCATTCAATCGCAGATGTCGCCAGCCGTAGTAAGTACATAATCGGGCCATCAGACAGCCACACCCTCCCGAGCAAGCCACACGATCTCATCGCCAATCACTACCGAAGGCACATCACCGTTCTCGGCACCTTTCGACACTCTGTGACGCACGGGTAGCAGCGATCTCGGGCCATCACTTTTGATTTGGATTGGCAATATCGGAAGCAAACCACCTCCAACCCTGAAAGCCACGAGCTCTGCTGTAGCTACCTGCTCTCGTCGATTATCTATCGGCCAAGCCCCCAGAAGAGAGACATCAAACGTGTTTCTCCTAAGCTTATTAGCAGGAAAACGATTCCTCTCAAAAGCAAAAACCATAGCAGGATGTGTGTGTACCTAGCAGCCTTCGAGTCAGAAAGTCGCCTCTCCGTGCCGGATGACGACGAATGCCTATGTCGGTGGCGGCAGGTCTCCATCACCACGCAGAGCTGGTGATGCAAGGGGTGCAGCAAGCTCTCGCCTACGTCGTGCTCACAACGTGGGATCACGACCGGGGTCCGGGAACGTTCCGGTCCAGTTACCCTAATGCTCGAGATGTTGCTCCAGAATTGAACACCGGCGAGACCGGCTTCCCCGTCGTGCAGCTTCCGGGAATGCATGACGGCGCGGCCCCTCCCAATGGTGTCCATCTGCTTGCAGACATTTGCGGCAGCAAGACCTTCACACTGTCGGTGCAGGTACGCTGCGGCCGATGCGGCCGGGGATACTGAGCGTCTGCTTCCGACTGCGGTGGGTAGTCGGTCCTGAGGTCTGGGCCCTTTCGCTGTCGACTTAGTGCTCTTCCCGTCGAAGCCTTTCCGGAATCTTCCATCACCTAGCGGAGGTTCACGGACGTACGGCTCTTGGAGCATGACGGCCGTACTAACAAGCCACAGGCTATTTCCGTCGCCTAGTCGGAAAGCAACCTGACTAATATCTCGATTCTGGACGGGAGTCTCTATCCGGCATATAAACGGTTGAAGGTAGCCAAGATCTCGAGATCTAGGACGTCGAGTCGAGCCTACGAGGTTGCTGCGGGGGAAAAAGCGATCTCCATTCTTGGTATCACAGAGGTAGACGTGCTCCAAGCGGATCTCGTATCCATGTTCTCTCACTCGTGGAACCGACAAGCTGGGACGGCTAGTAAGCAACGACCTCGAGAAGCTACGACACGCGAACACGCGACGTGCGACACCGACTGAACAGAAAAATGTCTTCATCTCCACGCGGGTCCAGCCCCAGACATACGCAAAACCATTGACCCATCGCTCCCCTCCTACACATGGAGGGAGTGCGTAGTCGACGACCGAAGCGACCCAAGCTGAGACAAAAATGGAAAATTTTGTGCAGTGGTAACCGTTCCAACGGGCGCGTGCTTTGGGATGGAGTAAGTAAGTCAGTAAGAGAGACAATGTAATCTTGCGCGGATGCTGTGACAGGGAGGCGGGTGAGAGAGAGTTGTGGAAATGAAAGTGACAACGTTTTAATATACCCCCGGTGCCCCGGCGCCGCGGCCGTTGATGGCGAGTTACGCAGGGAGAGAAAGCTTTAGATGACGGGATAGATGCAAAGGGATGATCTATCCGATTTAAATCCTGGAAACCACGTTTGGACGTTTGGACCTACTTGTCTTGCCATACAGAAGGAAATCGTTTTGTTTTTCCTTTCCCTCTCCCACGTTTTATTGTTGAACTTGCAGGAACTATCGAGCGTTGTGCTGTGCTCGGCAGGGACTCGGGAAAGGGAGTGGAAGGGATGGGGAAGAAGGAGTCAACTGTCTCTCATATCTTTAAGCGATACCGACCATGGATTTCACCATTTGCTAGTTTGGTCTTGCTCGATAACCGACGTTTCGTTTCATCCTGGAAGCTATTAGTTTAGGCGTGCCAGGTAAAGCATTCTGGTGTCTGACTGACGCCCGAGGCGAGCGGGCTTTTCATCACTGAGATTACAAGTCGACGTACGCAGCTTTGACGGCATGTTTCGATCTTGGGCTTACCAGACCTTTGAGAATGTGACGAACGTTAAACTACGTACGTCGACTGCTGGCTTAACGAGCGAGATGTAAAGTCGTGTTGAGTACTCCATATTGGAGTGGTGTATGAGCATCGTGTCATTTGTGCTCGGGGTACTTGCTCGATTATAGAACTTCCGTCAGCCATATGAATCGAGAATACATGAGTGATTGGTGGTAACCTTGCCGATGCCGGGATGAGTATATGTGTCTAAGGCCGGTTCTCCAGGTGGGCGTACTCTACCTCGTTGCTGTTCCCTTCGTTCTCACATTGTACTTTGGGGTTGGATGCGATGGAGAAGTGACTCGAGTTGCTTTCCTGATGATTTTCTACCTGATGGTAGAGGGATTGGATCAAAGAGGTGCTATGATTTCATTGCCCTTCCCCGTGTGAAGCCTCTTCTTTGACCAATTGGCCGCTTATCAACCTGTGTAAATCAACAACCATCTTCAACCGTGGCAATAAAGTCCTCAACGCAAGATGCTATACATGTAGACCCTTCGAGACAGAAATGTGGTAATTCACTCACAGATCTCGGCGTAGATATCAAGCTGCTGTTGCTGGGCATTCTGTTCTATTGCATCCGCGTTCCACGAGCCGCAGGCCTAGAGCAAGGAGTATCGCCAATGTCTTTGGGGCGATGAACCGAGGTCATTAGTTTGTTGGGTGTTCCACGTGAGACTCGAGCATTCGAGCTTATTAACCGGTTCTTAGTGGCATAAGGGATGATCTAGAGCAACTATGGGATATTTGTCCTATCATCAGAGTCTCGGGAATCATCATTGAAGACTTTCCATTGCTATCTGGCTATCTTTCCGTGCCCCCACTCCGAAGAACTACACAGAAGCCCTCGGCCACTTCGGAACAAAAGCTTGAGCAAACAACTACGAGACGGGTCAATGTACGATGGTTTGGTTGTGTTTGGTTGTAACTGTATCATTTGGATCTTCTCCTGCCTGCCTAACTCATCTGACGATTTCAGTCCAGCACCTAGACCAAAGTTGTCCAAGATGCGTTTACTTCCATATCTTCTTTCGCGTCTCACACCAACCCAATGCCGGCGACTCATGCTACCCACCCGAATGGCTAACCGCGAGGAAAGATCAAGCTGTATGATATTGCCAAAGTGGTGAAGGCCGGTGTCTGTTCATCACCAGGTCCTAGACGTTGGCAAGAACCTTCTCCCAAATTGCCTTGCACGAAGCCTTGTGGATCTTGCGATGGGTCCTTCGACAGTCCTTTGGGAATTTCAGCTTCTCTTTTCCAAGAACCCCATCGAGCTTGAGTACTCACGATGCCGCAGTACCAGGAAGCCTGGCAGTGGCCGCACTTCTTCAGGTTGATACCGTGGTCTGCGTGAATCTTGCCGCAATGGAAGCAGCTAAGCCCAAGCTGTTAGTCGATGCCTCGTATGGACAATCCGGCTAGACTTACCTTGGCTCGTGAAAGTCTCGAGGCGTTCCCGACTGATAGTTGTCGAGCGCAGCAAGGAATTGCGCTTATCCGGGGTCACGGAAACCAAAGTCCATCATCTGCAAGGCAAAGCGATATTGGCAAGGTATCTTGGGAACGAGGTCGCGTAGATGCTACATGTCGTCCGCCTTGATCTTGGCTCCGCCACGCATCATCAAGGCGCCGACAACAATGGTTCGGTACTGGCCTTGATGCTCGTGTTCGAGGGCTCGATACTTCTTGAAGAGTTCGTCGCCGACTCCGGAGTCAAGCCGTCCTCGGATTTCTGTGACGAAACCGCGGAGGAATTGTGCATGTTCCTCAGTTTTGTAGCACTCTCTCGTCTGCATAGGAGCAACCATGTCGGTCTTATTGATCATGAGATAGAGATCAAGCTTCTCAGGACCATCGCCGAAAGCTTTTCTGATGGCGGCGACGATGTCAAGATCCTTGTCGCCCTCGAAAAGCCCTGATGTATCATTGTTCAGCAGAGAATAAGAGAGGGGAGGGCAGGACAGCATGCGGAATCCCCAACGACCCATGTTTAGGTTAGAAGGTCTTTCTGAAAGGACGAATAGACCAACGATTTGAGATCCTGAGGGTGACCAGACCGTAGGATGTGATGATTCAGGTGCGAGAAGGTCCTCGCAACAAGGAATTACAAGGTAGGAGCGAAAGGCAATGGAGTGAAGTCGGCAAAGTCTGAGACGACGTGGAAGAGTTGAAGTAGGCAGGTAGGGAGGTACCTCATGTAGACGACGGGATCACGCACCTGCCGTTTGCAAGACAGGCAAGGGCAACGACCGCTCCTTCACCAAACATCTAGCTAGGAAGGGGCAAACGTTACTCTGAGGTGGTCGCATGAGGTAAGCGTCAACACGTAGAGAAGACCAAAAAAGAGTTCACCCCCCCGGTGCTGGACTGGGGGCTACATCTCTTGGTGCTCATGCTGGGATTCGAACTCGGGTACTCTCGTATGCGCTGAGCCTGTCGTCGAGTAGGCTGGTTGGTGTAGAATTCAATTGTTGACCATTAACCACTCCACCACCCAGCCAGTTTGACCTGACACGTCGACCTAGACGGGCGCCTCCTGGCTGGTGACAGGAATGGACTTGGAGGGGTATATATGGGCTTCCTGGGTATTCAGGTGGAAGGCACAGTCAACACTCACCCGCTCCTTCCAACCCGGACTACCTACTTTGCCTACCTTACCCGAACTAAGGTAGATAGACGCCATGGCCCTCTCGCAAAGGTTGCGTCACGGGAATATCTCGCAGCATGTGTAGGAATGAGAATGCAAATCATTGACTTTCAAGGCTTGCCGAGAGCAAACGTAGTCTCATTCATGTGTAAGTTTCCAATTGGTCATAGGCGGTATTTGATCTCTGCACACGGATCTGCATGAGTTTGAGGATATGCCATCAAACAAACGGATGCTCCGGGAAGGGAGGCCCATCTGCAGTGTGCCGATGAACATGCCGTGTCCGTAAGGTAGATTCCGATCCCGCTTTTTAAGTGCCCCCAGGTTTCCATCTATTTTCTTCTAAGTCTGTTCAAATATGCTCAACGCCATCCCCGACAGTTGTGCCAGATGGGAGCTGTTGATAGGCTGTTTATGTTCAGCCAGCAATTGACTAAGTATCTGACCGTCTAAGAAGCTCAACGATCACCAAGACACCATTCTGCAGTCAGGAATCACATCAAAATCAACATGAAGAACCGAATTAGTGGTTGGGGGGATGGCAATGAGGTGGTACGTTGTGGTGAATATTGTGCTGCCTAGGTATTGATATAACAGCAATCGCCGGTTACCTATGCTCCTCCTCGAAGTGACTTGGAGAACTGTCGAATGAATCCATGCTGCCCATTTCTTTCCGCAAATCCAACGAGTATAGGTTGGCAAGTTGACCTATGACTTGTTCAGGGGTAGAGAGGAGGCCGATTAACAACGTGCCTGTTCTGCCCGATTTCTTTTTTGTTCGTAATCTTGACATTCATCCCCAAACGCCAATGGTATCCGTGAACCATCCTCCAACTACAAAGCATGCGAGGTATCGATATCTTTATCCGTAGCCTATCTTCGCGGGGGAGGGTTGAAGCCCGGGGCTCCGCCAGGAGGGCCAGGGTTGAAACCAGGAGGAGGGAAGGGGGCGTTTTGAGGGAAGCCCGGGGGCGGGAAGGCACCGGGGAAGCCCGGGGGAGGAGCTGTAAAGTGTGAGAAGCGCATTCGCGGGTCAGAGGGGTATGTGTACTCACCACCACGTCCACCAAAGGGCGGGGCACCAGGGAAACCAGGGAATCCGGGAGGAGCACCACCTCCAACGCCAGCAGCAGGGCCCTACGTTAAAAGTCAGCGTCCGAAGCTCATGAATAGAGAATAGTGGGGTACTAACGGCCAGTGATGGGGGAGCCGGGGCGGCGCCGCGGCCGGCGGGTCGCGCAACACCAGGACCAGCGGTGAGACCGGCCGAAATTCCGCCAGGCGCGCTCTTTCCAAGTCGTGCACTGGGGTCCGCGGGCGGCTCTGATTCCACTGACAGGGAGACAATGTGTGCGCCGCGGACAATCGTCAGGCCGAGGGTCCGCTTCTCCTCCTTCTCGATCGTTTGGCCGGAGCTGGAGCTAGCGCCAGGGGCGGCAGGCTTGTTCTGTCTGATCTTGACGCGTCTGAACTCTTCGGTATCGGCGAGGACGAGGTTCATGTGCTGTACAGATTGTCAGCATGATTGTAGAGACGCGATTGAGGGTAAAATTGGGTTGCGCACCTTGTCAAATGCAAGCATCTGTCCGGTCATCTGGCGGCCATCGTTCAAGGTAACCCTCATGCGGTAGTTGATCTATTAAGTCGCGTCAGTCTGTACTCTGGGCAGTAGCCTGAATCGATCGTCGGGTAGTTCTCGAGGAAAATTACGTACGTAACCGGCCTAGAAATGAAGAACTTCGTGTCAGCCTGTATTGTCAACCTTGAAACTTTGAGAGAAAGGTCAGGAGTTGCTCACCATCTTGCCCTGTTTGTTCGACATCTTGGGTGATGTTTGTGTGAGGAGCTACTTTCGTAGCTGCTCTAAGTCTTCAAAAAATTGATGTTATGCTTGTTGCGAAGCCTGAGAGACTTCAGCGCGACTGTTGATGCTTGCGATAGGCAGAGCTTCAGCAGTCAGAGGATATGGAGACAAATTTCGGGAGGCTGAGGGAACCTTGGAAGGCTGAGGCCAAACGACGGGACCCTCCATGCTTGCAATCGGTACGTAGCTTGATGTGGCTGATGGAAGCATCTGCTTGGGCTTCTGTGGCTCGTGGTTGTGGCTAAGAACACGGGTGAGTGCACCACTTCCAAGTGGGTCGTCACCCACCTTCCTTGCAAGGGCTCGCAAACCCCCCAAAACACAAAGTCTTTTTTTGCCAATTGGCGCCGAACTTTTTCCCACTTTGACAATCGACAATCGACACCAAACGCCCAGCCAGCCGTACCGCAGTACTAACCGCCAAAATGTCGTCCGAGAAGACCCAGAACCCCATGCGCGAGCTTCACATTCAGAAGCTCGTTCTCAACATCTCCGTCGGCGAGTCTGGTGACAGACTGACCCGTGCCGCCAAGGTGTTGGAGCAGCTGTCCGGTCAAACCCCCGTCTACAGTACGGCATCACCAAAAATTCCCACGACAAGAAACGATGAACTAACAGTACCCGACAGGCAAGGCCCGCTACACCGTCCGTACCTTCGGTATCCGCCGTAACGAAAAGATTGCTGTCCACGTCACCGTCCGTGGCCCCAAGGTACGACAATTTTGGCGGAATTCGAAACTGCGCAGGAAGGATGGTGGACTGACTTGATGATTACAGGCTGAGGAGATTCTCGAGCGTGGCCTCAAGGTCAAGGAGTACGAGCTCCGCAAGCGCAACTTCTCCGAGACCGGCAACTTCGGATTCGGTATCTCTGAGCACATTGATCTCGGCATCAAGTACGACCCCTCCATCGGTATCTACGGCATGGACTTCTACGTCTGCATGACCCGCAAGGGCGAGCGCGTCGGCACCCGCCGCCGCTGCAAGGGCCGCATCGGCTCTGGCCACCGCATCAAGCGTGACGAGACCGTCAAGTGGTTCAAGTCTCGCTTCGATGGCATTGTCCGATAAATGCTTTCATTTCCTGCGACGAACGAAAAAAGACACTGGGACGGCTTGGGTTAACGGTTGGCGAAAAGTGGGAAACTGGCTTATAAGGCATGTACTTTCCAGCAGTTGTTCATACAACACGCTTGACTTGAGCAAAAATTCAGTCAAGCCGCGGCCTCAGAGACCGACCGGCGTCATGCCGGCTTACAACACAAGTTCCTTCTTACCGTGATGCTGCTCATGATTCTGTTTGGTGACGATGGCCCGCGATATGGAAGCGGCCTAGGCGTTGGTGGTTTAGCTAGTCTATTTTAGTCCAAATAAGCTACAATACTGTACTCACGGCCTAAGTCTCCCATCTCGCGTGAAATGGTAAGCCAATTTTCCTTGCCAAGATTTGACCTCACTTCTTGGGGCTGCACGTGACCAGTGTTGCATTGAGATTCGATTTTGGCCTCAAGGCTCAACGGCGGGTAAGACTACGAGGCTGACGGCAGAAATGCGACTCGGATTTCACATTGCTCCGAGGCGGTCAGGCTCGGTGTTCCCGGCCGGATGGAGGCACCAGAGTCCCACAGCTTCAGTATGCCTTCCGTATACGTGCACTGTGTCCTGTGCCTCTGGGCTCTCAAAGAGTGCTTGAAGTCGGAGAGGTTGGCATTCCTCAAGAGAGTGGAATTGCACAGTGGAGAGCTTTGCACCAAAAATGCCGGGGAAGGGGGGGGACAACACTGGGAAGCTACCTGGACTAAGAGAACAGCGCATGCATGCAGATATGAGAATAGGTAAGGTCAAGGGATAATTGAAGCTATCATGATACCTAGACAATTACCGGGGCGATGGCTGAAAAGTCCCGGTATCGCAATGGATGGCGACAGCTATTTTATCGCAAACTCAATGGGTGCGGCGGAAAGCCAGACTGGCACCAATTTTTATGTTTTATTATTTTTTTTTCACTCGGGCCCAGTTCCCCTTCCTTTCGGTTGAGATTAGATCGTCCTTCCCAGCGCGTTAAAGACCTGTCAATGTCAGAGCGTCTTTTCCCCCTGTCTTATGTAAGTCAGGCATTTCACGGGGTTACGGGGCCACGACGGGCACGTATGCGGTGGTCGGAAATTGTTAGGGAGATCTCGGGTTGGACTGAGGCAAAACTCGACGGCCCACCGTGATTGGCCGGCCAGCACAGCTTCGGCTCCACTGCTTCCTCACTCTCTTTTCCCTCCACTGGGCTTCTTCCAAAAAAGACTCGATTTGCACTCCTTCAAAGGCACCTTCATCAACCCCAATCTCCCCTCCACTCAATTGCATCTATTGCAATTGATTCTCCTTCGATCTAGACAGTGTCCAAGATCTTCTAATATGTTCCGCAACGCCCTCCGCCAGTCGACGCGCGCCGTCGGCGCCGTCTCTGCTGCCGGCAGAGTCGC